TGTTAGATTTTACATATATGTCTATGTATATTCGATGTGTAGGTGTTTATGTAACGGAAATTTCAAGTGCTTTTCATTTCTCAAAGCTGTACCTATGATATTAAGTTACTACGTTATACATAATTATTAATTAGGTATGTGTTACAATGTTATAATAATGTTAAATGTTACATACCTACATTTGTCATAATAAATATACAACCGTAAAAAGAGGATCCTTTTAAAATGGATGCCATTATTTAAAAAAAAATAAAAGTGTCAGCCGCAGATGTAAACTGTAACAGTTGTCATTTTGTCGGTTCAATATTATACATATACCTATAGAAAAAAATAATACTAATATTTTTCGCTAGCTTCGGTTCTTGTGATAGTTTTGTAATTTAAGTCTTAAGTCTTAAACACTTCAGTTTTAATAAAATTGATCGATAGGTACAGTGCTATTGAGTATAATTTTAAATATCATTTTAATTAGCACATTAGGATTTTTTTTATAATTTTTTTTGATTAGTTTTTGAATATACATATGCACATATTTTTTCTGTAATTTTATAACTGTTTTTGCTATATATGAACTATAATTTCAATAAATAAATAAAATATGCATAATACACTTATGAGAATAATATATTATAATACATTATATTATTAAAGCGAATACTGGTAACTAAATTTATTTAAAAAATTAAGAATACTTAAAAATGTTGTTAAAAATGTGGGCTAAGTAAAACTTCTACAAAATTGAAATACACCAGACTCCTCGAGAATAGTGTTTTAAAATTCTCGTAAGAAATGAGGTCATTTCAATCTTCATTTCACAGAAATCTAGTTTTTTCGACGTTCCAAAATCAAAATATGACAAAAACTGTCACTGAGCGACATAATGTCAAAACCGCTTTTAATTGTATGACAGTAAATAGCCTAAGGATTCGACATAGAAAGCCAAAACAGAAAACGTAATTAGTACAACATATAAATAAAGCAACAAGCATACAAACCAATAATAAATTAACATTATATACAAGCACATTGACACTAATTAATCATTTCTTACGTAACCAGACGGACTTAGGATCTAGTGAATTGTTTTAAGATACGATATATATTATACGTGTGATCGCGACGAGCGCTGCGGCGCAACTGGCTAGGTGGTAGGTACAGAAAAACCTCACCCCCTTGAAAATAAATGTGGCGCCCAAAGTGGGGCTTAACACTGTCAGTGCGATAATACCCTATCCACACGAAACACCAACAGCATCGAAATATAGGGATTCCGGGCAAAAGAGTTTTTATACGTTACAAAAGCCGACTTATTTATAATATTAGCTTTTATTTACACATTAACTATATAACTGAATAAGTCATAAAAAATCTAGTTATAAGCATTTTATTATTTCAGTTAAAGCTAAATAAAAGATTTATATACTAATAAAGTCTTACGGTGAAGGAAAACATCATGAGGAAATCTGCATGCCTGAGAGAACTTAGCAAGTTTTCGAAACACGTGAAGTCCGCCAACCCGCACTTAACGTACGTACCGTCAAGTGTAACTGAAGAAGTAGAGTTTTACAATGTCTCTAAACTCATAAAAAAATTAAGGAAATAATTTAGGTTCAGTTAATATTTGAATATAATCGCAATTATAATCTCAGTGTGAATCAAGCTTTATGTTTTAGCGAATCCCTCGAAACACTGCAGGTATATATGTAGTTACATCTCGTTGACAGCGCGTTTTATGAAATTAGATCGCTGAAATGGTACGATACAGTATTTGCTGCAGACACCATTTTTATTCCAGATCATTTCAAGTATTTAACGTTTTATAACGAAATTAAAATGCCGAAAGCTATTTTATTTTCGTAATAAAACATCATATGAGCGATAAATATAAACTCTGAGACTTTAGTCTCAGTTAAATTAAATTCGTATTATAGTACTTTCAAATTATAACAATAATTTTTTACTAATCAAAGAGTAACTAAATTAATAAAAATAAATATATTTTTTTTATCTCCACTGACATAAAACACGTGTTATAGATTTATCAATATTTGAGAAACTACTTTGAATATAGTTATGAGTTTTCAGTTATCAGCAACTTCATCATGTCGCATTTTGGCTGTTGGTTAGCGCGCGCATTATAATTTTACTCTCATATTTTTTTCCAAATGTGCCAAAAGAAGTATAACTCAAAACGCTCTAAAAATGTACTTTTAACGATATTATTTATCTCCTGATGATCTTAATTAGATGATAAATATGCAAGAAACAATGTTGAATTAAAAAAAGGAATAATAAAAAATAAAACACTTAAATTAAAAAAAAAAACTTTAATGTCAAATTACAATCACATGAGGAAATAATCAAAAACAATAACATCACAATTTGTCATATTTTTCGTCAGGTACGTACACACAACTAAATTAATACTATATTATAAAATATAAGTCAACATAAATTTTAAATAACATTCTTTTTCTAAAATGGCGGCTGTATATAACAAAATAAAATAAATGCGTTAAATAAAAAAATATGAATAATTGACGACTTTTTAATTTTTAATCGATATTATTTTTTTGTTTGTTTTTAGGTTTTAAAGATATTTTTACTCCAAAACTTAATAAAATATTAAGTTACAAATTAGTTACTTTATACGGAGTTAATTAATAAGACTTACTTTTAATGATACTTTGAATATAGTTATTTTAAAATATATATATAAAGTTATGTATATAAAATTGAGCTTCTGAGATTCAAATTTTTTTGTAATCACAACTTATTTGTAAAAAGTTATAAGTACTTGGAACGATTATTTTTTTAATTTTTAATATTTCTGCAATAGCAAATATCAAAATAAACTCGTATAAAAATATTAAGATGCTAATGTTATCTTTTAATCATAAAAATATATGAAGATGTGTATGTAAATATTAGAAAGCATATTTGAATATAATTATTTATACGTTTTTATTTATCTATGTGTAAATGTGTAAATATACGCAGGGCAAAAGATAAAAAAATGATTGTTAAAAACGTTATAAATAATTAAATCCAGTTTTATTATGAGGTCTGAAGTTAGCAACATATGATACTTATAGATTTACGGTATCTCTTCCGAAACCATGATTGCTGTAAAGCATTCAAAACGTCGGGAACCAAAAATCAAAATAAATCCGCGAAAGAAATCGAACAGATGGTTTTATTTAAAATTAGCAACAAAAATGGTAGTAGCATGCTCGACAATTTGTATGAGTAATTATTTTGTGCTAGAAAGTTTGAACGTGTACGCAGACTCCGAACCGGTTTAAGAAAAACGGTTTATTTCGGTAACGTAATGGTTAATTTATCGCTCGTTCTTTAACCGGTTAATGAAAACGAACGGTTTAGTAAATTAATTAATAATGGTTAACGGCTGTAATTCGAGAAGTTGGATTTTGGTTTTGTTAACTATTCATAAGTATGTATCATTCATAAGTAAGAAACGTGCATGCATTCTTATATTAAGCCATTCACCATTAATAAAGAAAAACTAAAAACAAAAACTCATTTTAACCAGTTAATTTTGTTCATGGAACCTAAATTCGTCAAAAACTTTTCTCCCGAATTTAACCGGTTAAGAACGTAACCGAAACGATAAACTGAAAAGCCTTTCGGTTTTAGATCAATGACTTAAACCGGTTTAAAAATTGAACGGGCTTTCCGAGCCCTGCGTGTATGGCGCTTGTGCAAGCGGCATGAAGATTTATAGAATTTTGTTTTATGCGGTTTGAAATTGCTAATCAAAAATTAAAAATTATACAAAATGGCAATTTCTGTATGCTTTTTAATTTTTTATTAGGCACGTTAGCTCAGTTTAAAACCATGTCAATGTCTTCTATCAGTCACTAGTCTTACACAATATCGTGAGGAAACCTGCATATCTGATGGAACCTAGCAACTTTTCGAAAGACATGTGAAGTCCGCCAACCCGCACTTGGCCGGCGTGGTGGAGTATGGCCTGATCCCCCTCGTAATGAAGGGAGGCCCACCCTCAGCAGCGGGGTGTTAAAATGGGTTGAATACATATTTACGTATGAAGCCACTGTCAGCACCAGGTTATATATTTCATATAATTCGCCCTTAAAACGACTTATTTTAATTTTAATTTGACCTATTTGCTCATTATAAAATATGAAAACAATGTCCTATTAAAAAAATTGTATATAAAAATATTCGATAATATTGTGTTAAGATTTTATAATCTACAAAGGAGAATTAAAAAAAAAGACTTAGGCAAAGATCTCAACTCAGTTATTCCTAATAAACAGCAATTAATTTCTTGCATCATAAAATTAAGTTTATAATATTAAGATTACTTAAAATGGTAATTATAATAAGATTTTATGAAATTCATTTCTTAATATAGAATAAAACTACGTTTTCTAAATTTTTTTCGCGAATTTATTTTGATTTTTTGTTCTCGAAGTTTCGAATGCTTTACAGCGTACATGGTCACGGGAGAGACTAAGCTTTTAGACGTCTCAAAGGTGACCAAAATGTATTTTTTGAAATCATTTTGTAAATTTGTGGATTGGCATTGTCTGTGACAAGTATATAACGCCCTTGAGACATTTAAAACCTTAGTCTCCCCCGTGACGATGATTGCTGTAAAGCATTCGAAACGTAGAATCCAGAAATCAAATGAAATCCGCGAAAAAACCCCCAAAAAGATAGTTTATTAAAAATGTTAAATATTCGCGTAAATCTAAGAAAGTATTATCTTAATATCAACTTAATTTCATGAAGAAAGAAAAACTAACATAAAACCTCCTTTATATATATTTTATTTAATATAGAAGTCTTAAAAGGAAAATATTCGAAGACTAAGTATGAAAGTTTTTAAGTGAAAGCCTTTGTCACAGATAATAAAAAAAAGACTATAAAAATATTTCTTGCGCTCCCATATACTAAATGCTTTAGCTATTGTGCCTTATATAAATTAATATGTACTGCTGAGTAACTTATAGCGACCATTTGGAACTGAAACAAAAATAAAACAAATAAATTTAAACAAAAAAACAAATTTGGAATAAAAAAACAAATCAATGCAAGAAATCAACATTTTATATCATGTAAATCATCGTAAGAAATCTGCATATATATTTTTTAATAAGACGCGTGTCGTTGGCAGTGGTAGCCCAGTGGTAACGCGCTCGCTTGGGAAACCGAGTGAAGTGGGTTCAAATCCTAGGTTTCGCACCTTTGATATTTACATGGCCGAAACATTTCCAACATGATTACCACTTGTCTTAACGGTGAAAGAAAACATCGTGACGAAACATGCATGTCTGATAGAACATAACAAGTTTTTAAATACGTGATGTTGGCACGTTTATAAAATGTGGTCTATATAAACCCTCATTTCCTAGAACACACATCACATACTAACATATCTGCATATCACCTGGGCTTAGCGTTCCTCTTGTACGGCCGTGCGTACCCAGTATGTACCCATATAGAGAGTGCGGAGAAAATTGAGAGACGTCGAAAGAAGAAGTCTTGGTCTCCGTTTATTGCTGTTCCTTCATCTATCTCTCTCTCACACCACACATTACATATCTGCCTTTCACTTAAGCGTTCCTCTTATACAGCCGTGCGTTCCCATACAGAGTACCAAGACTCCGACCCGGAGAAATTGAAAGACGTCGGTTTTAGTCGGATTGCTGTAATTACATCCATCTCACTCACACACCACCATATCCGCGTCTCACCTGGGCTTGGTGTTCTTCCTGTAGGGCCTGGCGTTCCTGTACACGTGTCCGCCCTGCGACACCAGCGTGCCGCGCGAGCTGGCGGGGCTCAGCGCCGTGCGCGGGGAGCTGGGGGAGGACGGGGAGCCCGAGCCGGAGGGGGATGGGGACAGGCGGCGGAAGAACACGTCTCGGTCATCGTTCGTTGGTGTTCTTTCACCTGGTGATATGAGGTATTAGTTTAGAACGTTTGTCTGTGTGTTTGTTCTTCTTTCACAATAAAAAATCTAAGATTAATATAATTATAGATAGACTGGTCGAGAGTCAAATATCTTGGGCCGTACGTGAGCGAAGCAAGAATAAATTGCTAGTAGAAAATAGGTGTATTGTGTTTATTTTTCCGCATGCTGTAACAGGTTAACTGTTTGAAGTAAAATGGAGGTAGCTTATAAATATTGTTATACCATAAGTTACGTATCTATTACACATGTGAAACGTGGGCAAAAACTTATATATATATATAAATACATATTATTATATACATATTATATATATATATGTATGTATGAAATAATGAAACCGAAAACATCATAAGATAAAAATGATTACAGCAAAAAAATAGGGTTTAATTTATATTGAAATATCAATTTTTCTATTAAGTCACAATACTAAAAAACCATGTCCAACACATGTAAATAGAGCAAAAATGGTTGACAACTGACCGTCGAGCAGGTCGTCGGGCAGGTCGTAGCGGCGCGCCAGCTCGGGGCTGCCCCACGGGCTCAGCGCGCCCAGCGGGCTGGACAGCCCCGCCGTCACCAGCGTGTCGTCCTCGTCCGAATCTGGTCAACACGTATGCATATAATAATTACACTACGGGACTTAAAGAGGGCATCGAGCTTTTCATTTTAGTAGGACGAAAGCGGGCAGGAAGTGTGGCTAGGATGGACGGAACGCATGCGAATTTAAGTATTTCCTTCGTATTATTAAAACAAATACACAGAGAACGTGTAGTTTTGTTATTATAAAAAAAAAAAACTGATGAACTTTCTTGAATTATATGTACGCCGCACTAAAGGTTTATTTTGTTTTTTAGAGATAATTTTGGATTTTTTTTTCTATTGAGGAAACTACAAGTAATCGTGTTTCTAAAGTGTATGATTTATAAAATAAATCCTTAAATATCCTACATATTAATTACATAATAAAAATGTTAGTAATCACACAATACAGCAAGGGATCAAACAAACGCAAATATTTCGTACTTGCCTCGGTACGCCCTTAAATGCGTGAATTCGTTATTAGCTATATACCTTATTCCTGACGTTTTATTTAGGTTTTCGTCTGCGTGGAGTCCAATAATGGGTAAATTATAGTATCGCGTATATTAGTGTCGTATGTAGCAGCTATTATGAATTGTGAAGATCAAGTGAGAGTGCTTGCGAAGATCTCCGATCGTAGCACCACGGTTGGTGCAACCCAGTCGGAACTTCGGAAATAAGATATATAACCACTAACGAATTCACACGTTTAAGTCACGTATTGTAATAATTATGGAACGCGAAAATTTAAAAAAAAACTCATATGCGTATATATGTCTATTATTTAATATATCGTCATCTCAGTGCTTATTTCTAAACAACCAATTTAACGAAAGAGTTTTTAGTACATGATTATTGATTTTTAATTGTCAATTCTATTAGTACTAAATACATATTTTACTTTAATAAAGTCGAAAAAATGTATTTAATCTATATATGTATACACTTTAAAACTTTCTGCCGTAAGTACAACAAGTATGGGTCGTTTAAACACATAAGCACTAAGGCGACAATATATTAAGTGCTTCGTTGGTCTAGTTTTGTAATGTCGGCGTCCAATCTCACTAAGATTAGCCATCTGCGCAGGAGATATTATAGTGTACAAATATACAAGCAGACACAACGTGCACTCTCTATTCCTGTCACTCTCATACTCCGGTGGGACGACTGCTCGACACGACCAGTGAGAGTGTCGGCGCAGGACCGACGGCTTTACGTGCTCTGCCTCGGCACGGGGGTGAAACACCGCCAACTTCCCAACTCCGGGCTGTTACTGAGAATATCTTGAAGAAAATATGTACTCAGTAACTGTGAACATGGGACTTGAAACCAGGACCTCCGGATCTGCAGCCGTACGTGTAAGTCACTAGACCACCAAGACAGTATTTATAGCAAGTTGATTTAACAAACATTAAATCCGAAAGTCTAAGATTCTAGTCCCGGTTAGGGTTATTATAGTTCATCTATTAAGAAACACACCCATAGACAACGCGTATCGGTGTTTCTCCTTCATGTGATATTTTCCCGAAGATACCTCTGTTAATTTTTATCTATATTTGAAACTTGAATAGTCTATGGGAATGTCAATAATAACATTCCAGTATAATACCACTTGGTCAAAAACCCTATTTAAATATGGCCGTAGCAGCAATAAAGGATTATTTAAATCTATTTTATTGTAATAGAAATAAAAATCGTATATATGATTGTACGCCTTTTTTAATGTCATTCTTTTTTTTCATTTTTACATATTCTGTCAAAAACGTAATTTACAAAAAGGTTTTATAAAATATTTTAATCAAAAATATAAAAGTATTAAAAACGATGTGTGTGTGTATATTTGTTGTGCCTACAGTAATTTTGTATGTGGAATAGTAATTACATACCATCATATATATCGAAGAAATTCTCTTTCGAATCGTTCGTAGATTGCGATATCTTTTTCTTTCGTTTACTCTAAAAATATAAAACAATGATTAATAAATACATATTATACAAATTATATACTACAGACAACCCATCCCGTATAATTAATTCGGGCTATTTTGTTCAAAGTCTATACTAATATTATAAAGAGACAGAGTTTGTTCGTTTGAACGCGCTAATCTCAGGAACTAGTAATCCGATCTGAAAAATTCTTTTTGCATTAGATAGCCCGTTTATTGAGGAAGACTATATCATATAATATATAAATTTCATACTAACCGTTGAAACGTACCTAGGGACGAATCGGGATGAGCCACTAGTAGATAATAAACGGCGTCATTCAGGAAACTATTTTAATGAACACTTCTACACATATAATAAAATTGTAACTAAGCCGAATCTGTACGTAAATACGGAATAAAGATAGTTCATATTCTGCATCAAAACAGACGCTACTTACAAAAATATTTAGCGGTCTCCAGAAAACCTATTTGTAACGAACACTCATGACTCAGACAAACATCAATATCCGTCAATGCCCAGCAGTGGGACTTTCAAAAGGGCTGAATTCGAGAAATATATTATATTATAAATTCATATAAAGATTTATTAATTTAAAAAGCTATTATCAAATACCATGCAATATGCAGCCCAAATGGTCCCGTACAGTTCGGTTTCAGAGGAACTTTCTCCCACGGACCATCTCGCTGTGGAATGAACTCCCTGCTGAGGTTTTCCCAGAGGGCTACAGTATGGGGTCCTTCAAAAGGGGAGTAAATAGGTTCTTAAAGGGTCGGCAACGCGCATGTGATGCCCCAGGTGTTGCAGGCGTCCATAGGCTGCGGTAACCGCTTACCATCAGGCGGGCCGCATGCCTGATTGCCACTGACGTGGTATAAAAAAAATACCTTAGTGAGTTCTTCAGCCACAGACATCTCCAGAGCATGGTGCGTCCTGGCGAGCGCCGCCAGCGCCTCCTCCAACACCCTGTTCCTCTCTATCTGAGGAATTACATACTATTTATACTTACACTTATATCATACAATATTGTGAACGCAATTTTATTTTAGTGAATAAATATAAATATATTATATTTTTCTTCACGATGTAACAGCGCAATGTTTTTATGTTAAGTCTCCATTGAATTTAGTTTGAATTTCTTGAATTGTTAAAGCCAATATCCTTAAGAAACCCTTAGCCGTTTCCCTGTCCCATGAGTCATATATGAACATTTCGATTGTTTAACTATTGTGTTATAAGAAGGTATCTCGTCGTTACGTGGACGTGAATGTGGACGGCGTTCCAAGACACTGTAACCTACTCAAAATCTAAAAGTGTGAAGGCATGTAGTGTACGGTGTGTGTATGAATTTATGCAATCGTGTATGTGTGTGTGCGCGTATTCTTACATGCAAGCGTGTATGAGTATGTGCATGCTGCGTGTGCGCGTGTGCGTGTACCTGCGTGGCGAGCGCGTGCCGGTCGCGGTCGCGCGCCTGCGCCACGAGCGCGGCGCAGTGCTTCAGCGCCGCCAGCGCCGCCTGCCCCGTGCCGCACGCGTGCTGGAACCTCTGCCACACACGGGTAACATATATTAATATAATATTAATTAATATGCTAATTAAGTATTTATTTATTTTCAGTTGAGCTAAATATTATTACTAAACATTTTTTGTTGAATTTACATATTTTTTTCTGAAATCTTAGTGATGGTGAATATTATCGCTTTATTTGAAACATTTAACTCGAAAACATGTTTTACACCAAAATGTTAACAAACTAAAATAATTAAAAAAACATTTTAAAAGTAACATTTTTATTATTACGTTTCCAAGGGCGTACTGATACGTATATACATACATACATACATATACACACGTACCATGTAGGCGGAGTGGTGCAACGCGTTGCCGACGGTGACGCTCTTGTCGAGCGCGGCGAGGATGGCGGCGCACTCGCGCAGCTGCGTGTCAAGCAGCGCCAGGTTGTTCGTCGCGTTCGTCAAGGCGTCCTGCATCGATCCTGCACATTATGTATTTCATATTTATTATCCATACATATAATAAAAATGTAACGGATCGCTGTCTGTACATGGAAGATATATGATAAAAAATATTTTAGGGACCTTTATCAACGCAAGTAGCGCCCAAAACAATGATTGTTAGAGTTTTTGTCTGTTTGTTTGTGCGTTTGTGCACGCTAATTCAAGAAACGGCTTATCCGATTTAGATGTGGTTTTCACTAATATATTCTGGTAAGCTTCACTTAACATTTAGTGTTTGATTCATGGCAATCGGTTCATAATTAAAAAAGTTATGCCAATTTATAGAATCACGTCGAACATTTGTTAAACTATCTATGTCTATTTATTCTTCCTCTGTTCGGTAGCATTGACTGAACAAAATATAATAACACATAGGCTACTTTTAAGCGAGGGTAAGCCGCTATTAAATATATATACACTAACCACAGCATAAAAAACCATACATTAGGTCACACGATACTACGAGTATACAATATACGTTCATATGATATACTAGTACACTAATCAAAGTATAAAAATCCATGCAGTAGGCGATCACCCATTGATTTTAATGGAAATGCTGTCAAATCTAAGGGTTGTCAAAAATACTAATTTTTGTAACGAAAGTTGTAGAAATTAATTGCCATTTAGACTTTGGAGCTAACTTCAGTTGGTGCAACACGGCCAACTTCAGGCTACCACTGATAATATTAACAGAAAAACTCAGTAATTAAAGTTGGCCCGACCCAGGATTCGAACCCAGGATCTTCAGATATGCAGCAGTACTTGCAAGCCACTACCGTACAGCCATCAAACAAACTCATCTCAAAGATGTACATTGTCAGTTTTCTCGTCATGTTTTCCTTCACTATATATAACCACTAAATGCTATGTATGTATGTACAAGTGTATACCCGCGGCTTACCTCATGTAAATTGAATAGTTAGCAAAAAGATAATAATAATATATTGGGACATTAACACACAGCACCATCGAGGTGATTCACTACACATATACAACTTTAAATACATACATATTATAAATATAAACACCCATGACTGGACTCTGGAGTAAAACCTTCGCGCTCATTACACAAATTATTACCCCTAGCGGGACTCGAACCCGCGACCACAGCAAGTAGGGTCACTAAAAACTGAGCCAAACATGTCGTCAAAAAGATAAAGAGATACATATTATAAAATTATTAAAATGGCTTACCTAACGGCTTACAATCGTCCTCCAAGTCCTCAACGGCCTCCCGCGCGGTGTCGGGGGCCGCGCCCGCCCACAGGTAGTGTCCAGAATACGCTATATGCTCTTTGAAAGCTGTTATCCATGACTGAAAAATACATTTTACATTTGTAATATCCTATTTTATACCATTGGACTATTTTCTTTAATTTTGTAACACATTTATGCTCTCAGACCCACAAACACATATGTACGTCTTGACTGAGAAAATTGATCCATGTATGAATATTGACATGAAGCGAATAAAAAAAAGTGATGTTCTGAAATTCATTAATATTAGGCATATTTGTAATTCTAGGGGAAATGAACAAGTAAGTATACATAGTATTTATTTTATTTGAGGTTTAGTTATCAAATTATAGGTTTCTTAAGAATTAACTTGATTAACGAAAGGATTTCTTTGGAAAATAAAATCTAAGGAAGTATAACAGTTTAAAACATATTTAAAATATTTTTAATAAAACAATAAAAATCAAATATTATATTATTTTATTTCAGACATTAAAGGAAGTACCTATTACAATTTAAGTTTATCCTACCTGTCTAGCAGCCGATACGTTTTCCCCTTGCGGCACGGCTAGCCTATGATTGTCACCGTCACTGAAGGCCACCAACATGAGTGCGGGTTCGGTGTCCGGCGCGGACAGTTTAGCCCCATCCAAGTACTTGCGGTCTCTCCACCTGCCCTTCTCCCGGGCGGCCTCGGCGCGGGACCCGTAGTACAGTAGAACGCCGCGTTGGAGTACTGCCTAGTAGGATTGTTTGTTTGTTAGTTTGAGTGACTTTCATAGAGTATTTATATGATTTTTAAATAATGTTAGAATTTTTCTAGTTCTCCGTACCATTTTTCTTCTACGACGATTTGTCATTAGTGGGCTCCTAAAGCCTAGACGTATGACAGACGGAGTTCCTTAATTTTAGCTATGATTCCTAAATAAAATAGTTTTTATGTAAAAAAATATCACATTCTGATCTCAAATGTACTCATATTATACAAAGAAACAATAATTTATTATATTTTACAAATGACGATGACGATCATGTCGATGATTATGGCGACGATGATGATGATGATTGTACAAATGACATGACACTATTAAAAATGCGGAAAAATGTAAGTAAGTGTGTGTTGCATTTTTGGTTACTTCTTATTGCCGTAACGGCTCTACGGATTTCAGGGATTTTTTTAAAATTTTTATTATTAGGGGAAAAAATAGTTTTTAATCTTGTTCCACTACTGTTTTTTAACTATATAATACGACATTTTAAATAAAACTAATAAAGTATATATAAGTATAAGTATATAATAATACGAGTAACATAGATTCAATACCCATATAGGCCTCCACCCTAGGAACCTAGAGCGCTTTAGTAGAGGGCCTTCAAAGCGCGCGGCGGTCCTTTGCAGCCTCTGCGCCGGCCTCACACTCAGTACCTCTCTCATCTCATTGTCTTTCGACATGTCTATTGCTAATTGTCCTGTGAATGTTATGTTTTATTTAAATCTTAGGAATTTATACTCTTTTTATCTTTGTATGTTATGATATTGTATAGAGGACTCAAGCCCAGAGCAGATTTAATGTTAGAATCCCGTGGGGCGACTATGGAGTGGAGGTCCTTATTGTTAATGCAAAAGGAGTTAAAGAAGTTTTTTTTTACTCTCCATTTCTTTTTTGTGTGTCAAAATTATGAAAACATAAAATATAGATTCATTAATTCATATAAAAAGAGCATTAGGCTATTTGGCTGGTTTATAGAAATAGTTAATTTTATTTAGCGGTGTTTGTTTAGCCCATAAAGTGTTATTTTTAGTACTTACTAGCGACGTTCGTCCCTAAGTTGATTGTCCATACAAACTTTCATCCCTATTTTCACCCTCTTAAGGGATGATTTCCGGAATAAAAAAGCTATCCTATGTCCTTCTCAAACTACCTCCTTAACAAATTTTACCTAAATCGGTTCAGTAGTTTCGGAGTCTACTCGGTACAAACAAATAAACAAACAAACAAAAAATCTAATCTTTCCTCTTTATAATATTAGTATAGATAAGTATTTCTTAAAAAAAATAGCAAGTACAGTACAATTTAAATAGTCCCTTGAGGCACTATTGGGGCACCTAGATTTTTATATTATGGAGGGCCAGGGTCTGCAATCGGAGTGGTTATTACTGTAAAAGTTTGGATTTTAACTGTTACTCCAGCTCAAAGCTATGCTAAAACAGGTTAAACAAAATTAATTTTCAGCAACTAACTTTCACCTTTAAATGAACATAATTACAGAAGAGTTAAAATAGCATATTAACTTTTGTTCTTTATATGGAATACTTACCGCTATTATTCCTTAATGTTGTGTCCACTCCATTTTCTAGTAATAAAACGGCGACTCGCGCGTGCCCTCTGTACGCCGTGCAATGCAAACACGTATTGCCTTGTGCGTCTACGCAGTTTATATTCGGAGGGTTTGGACTGCTTAACTGTGAAACACGTTATTAAATTCAACTATTACTGCTAACTCTGAGTTAGTTCTATATATCGTGTGGTCCTAGATTCAATTTCCGGGTCAGCCTAAAAGAGCTAATGGTTTTTTTGTCAATATATTGATAGAACCAGCAAGCAGACCTTTTAGATTATTAAAGTGGGTAAATAGATAGTGCAATTCACGCGCATTTTTACACTGTGATTGGTCTGAGTAAGACTAACTGCCAATTGTCATGATCGAAATTCATTTAGGAAGTATACTATGTTTATTTAATCAGTGTTGCTTAATAAATAATAATAATTAGTCAGCTTAGGTCTATATAAGTGTGCAGGTGCACACAACATATATGTCTATCTAAATGTACATATCATCTTTGAAAGAATATGAAAATTAGATTTGTTTTTAACCGAAATTTCTATCTGTACAGTAAAAATGATCTATTTAAATCCGTTACAACTCGAGTTTAATTAGTATAGATAGATATATATGGGAAATAAGGAATCGATTTTATTAGATCACTTTACGGCTGTGTACACGATATACGAGATCTTGGTATCGACCGCCGGATCAAAATAAAGTTATGCCTGTAGTCATTCGTTCTGATATTTCTCTACACGTTTTTCGTATTTGCCGTCAAAGAAAGTTTTCGTACGTTTTCGTGTTATATCTCTCGCAATAATGGCAAGTCGCAGTAAAATACCACTTTAACTGAAAATTTGGTCAGTTCATATTTCTCTTACCAACTCTTGCAATTCTTCGACTCTCCCCTCCCTCGCAGCATTCAACAGCTTCCTTTCTCTATCTCGTCTCTCTGCAAGTCGAGCTGCTTCCAACAACCTCTGGACATCCTGCGTCTTACAAACGTCTGTTGCCGTTCGTCCTTCACCATTCATTATATTGACGTCGGCTTTGTAGTTTAGGAGGAGAATCACTAACTCCTGTTAACGATAATATTTTCTTATCATCATCATAAACACATTCTATAAATATAATAAAATTCTAACTAAACCGAATCTGTACATTAAATTATAAATATTATTTGAATAATCTTATTTGAAATAGTCATTTTTATTGATACAGATGCTGAATCTATAGGTTTTAGAATTTTTGTCTGTCTTTCTGTGACCGCATCACGAAAAAACCACTGGACAGATTTTGATGAAATTTGGTATGATGATAGCTGGTTATCCGGGTCAACATATAGGATACTTTTTACTGCCGGAAAATATGTCATCTCTGAGCTTAACATTAAAACGTAACTAGGGATTATCTTTTCTATTTTTTTCGGGGATTTATATTGATTTGAATCAAAAATCAAAATAAATCCGCGAAAAAGTCGAAAAGATAGTTTTATTTAAAAGGTTTGTCATTTTTACCAATATAAGAGAAGGTTGTATAATAATTTTGTGCGTTATATATGTATTTCTAAATATTACGTCGTTGTTTTTTTCAGTACCATTGGTAGTTAATCTTTTTAAACTACGCGAACATTTCAATAAGTGTTTTTATTATTATTTAGATAATTTCTATCGGAAGTTTACGTACTTTAATAGTTGGTCTCGTTAAAAATGATGTATCAAGTTTACATTTGTAGGTTTATTCAACTGGATTATTTTACTTTATAACAAGCAGGCCGCACTCATGCTCATATTTCAACGACGTTGTACAAGTAGATACAACAAGTACGACCAACTATATTACTAGGTACCGTAATAAAGTTTTAAATCTATTACTTAGGAACGGAGCGAATAAAACATAAATGAAATACGTGAGCCGCAGAAAAAAGCAAGTTTTAAGATTTGCAGTAGAAAACTAAATACATATCTCGAGTTTCCTAATGCTACGAACTAAATTTGCTATAAATTCGCCGAAATTAGTTCAAATTACTTGAAAAGAAAAACGATTTTAATGTGTAGGCTTCATAGATAACGATAAAAAACTTACGTCTCCATTTGTTAGACATTTGAATTAATTTATTTGATTGACATATACTTAACATAATAAAAACAACTAAAAATACTTATACTTAGAATGTATTATCATATTTAATTAAAATTTAGGAATTCCAAAAGGGCCATTAATATTAACGTTGATTTGATACTTTGCTTATCACATTAAGGACGATGACTATAGCCAAACTTCTTTACTTAAATTCTGATAGGGTTAATTTGAGAAATATTTACGTAAATGAGCATTTATTGAGATGGGTTAAAAAGTATTGAACAACAATGTTTCGGGCCCAAACAACCAGCGAAAATGATCCTATAACTCGGATCAACTAGACAAATATGTGATCGATAATAATGAGTGATTAAAACTCTACAAATGGGCACATAAACATACACATCTACATACTAGGTATGTCCCTTGCAGGGTAGTTAAATAAATTAAAGTGCTAAAAGCTACGACCTATGTATACCTAGTTGGTGGCTGGGCACGGGCCTCCCTTCAATACAAGGGGGATAAGGCCATAGTACACCACGCTGGCCAAGTGCGGGTTGGCGGACTTCACATGTCTTTTCAAAACTTACTAGGTTTTCTCAGACTTCATGCAGGTTTCCTCACAATGTTTTCCTTCACCGTAAGGCAAGTGGTAATCATGTTAGAAATTATTCGCACATGAAAATATCAGAGATGCGAGACCCGGGATTTGAACCCGCTTCACTCGATTTCCCAAGCGAGCGCGTTGCCACTGCGCTACCACTGCTTTAAGTTTTTTTTTTTGCCTTAGTTGGTAGTTGGTATTGAGTAATGATAAGCAAATAATATTTTTTAAATATAACAGGGTGAAAATCTAATAAATAAATATTTTGTGTCACTGTGTTTGGAGTCGCACTCCTCCGAAACGGTTCGAACGATTTTAATGACGTTTTGTTTGTATATTTGGTAGGTATGAGAATAGGTTGTAAAGTATTTTTCACCCTCCACTGTTTCTTCACCGTTTTTTTAGTAACTAGGGGCAAACCCGAGCGGAGCGAGGGTGAGTCACTAGTAATATATTAAATTTTTATAATTTGATAAATCTAACCTCGTTTCCAATAAACGAAGCCTTGTGTAAGGCCGTGTCGCCACTGTCGTTGACTTCATCTACATCGGCGCCAGCGTCTAAGAGAGCTTCGACGACGTCCACGTGACGGAAATAGGTGGCCAAGTGAAGCGGAGTCCATCCTAAATTACCCTTAGCTTTACCTAAAATAATAATAGAAAAAAAATAAAAAGTAAAATATATTTGTTCAAAAAAAAAACCGAAGTGTGAATCAGGGGCATGGGCACATAGGGTTCTAAGTCACCAAACAATATATTTATGTTGTGCACCTACATTAAAATAGTATCTATAGACTGTTTTGAATGCACTAATCTTAGGACTTACCAGTTACATCTGAAAAAAAACTATGGTAATACAAATTAATTATTTTCAGGTTTTTTTTCACTTGTGCTCAGAAGTTAAATCTTCTAGTTTAGATTTAAAGTAACAAAGAATAATGAGTAATTACTTGACATAAAACATTATTAAAACTAAAAATAAAGCTTATGATTCTCATTTATGCCCATTCAATGTTCGAATAAACAATAATGTAAACAATAGTATATATAATATATATAGTAATAATAAACAAATAGTGTTGCTTCAGTTTAAATAGTTCAATAAAATATACATCCGAAGATACCCAATAATATCAGTTGGAAGATAGAATTTTTAATCATTACTTCTGTGAACTTTGACATCTTCAAGGTCAATATTCTAAATATAGTCACAATATCATTCAAAGTTTTCAAGAATATAATATATTAATGCAACACAAATTAGGATTAAATTTATGTAGTAGGTATTATTATTATAAAATATATTTTCTTATGCATGGACATATAGTTTTGCACAGTAAGAAATTGATCATAATTAATAAATATAACACAATGACTATATTAATCAATCACAATTAGTTGAAAAAGTACTAAAAAATAACATAAATAAATGAAAGGCAAAGGCAAACATTGTTTCACATTTTCATTGAAATTTAAGTACTTTAATATGTATGTGTAAGTAATTATATTTTATGAAATGTTGTATTTAGTTTAATATTATTATTTTAAATAAAATCTCACCTTTGCAATTAATGTCTAATCTCAGCTTTCCTTCCTTTTTAGCATCTAGGAGAGCTTTTACTACTTGCAGCTCTCCATGCCTGGCTGAATACAAAAGCGATTCTTCTGCTTCTAACCCAGGATTTACTTCTTTTGCGGACATTTCAAATAAACTTAGTAAACAATTTCAATGTGTTGAACACTTTTACGCAATATTTATACTTAATATATTATATTAGCCGTCACATTACATTAACTCTGTTGTGCGTTGATCTGTAAATTTTATTCACTTATGAGGCTCTAATATAAAGCGCCTAGGACATATTTTTCATAATCCTTCCGCAAAATATGAACTAAGAAATATTCAACATTGATAATCTTGACAGCCGTTGACAAGCACGGGATTTCGCCCAAAAACTCTTAACTGCGATCGATAATATGTTTTTTTGTTCATTTTAAAGAAAAACACATTTCTTTGTCATACTTTATCTTTATCTCACTTTGAAAATAAATCACTTATATCATCATATTTAAACTCACATTAAAAATCAATTATTTAGAAATTAACCTGAATTAATAAAGTGACTATTTCTGGGCTAGGAGTCGAATGTCAAAAAACTGATGTAAATGTCATTCTGCAGTTTATTTGTAAACAACAGAACTATACTAGGAACAACAAGTAAATAGTGCGATTTGTAAATTGTAAGTTCAATTTTTGTTTGCGTAAAATAAATTTGGGAATGGCTAGCAATTTAAAAAGTTGCTGTCGTATATGCTTAGATATGGAATCAAAACACATTTCCATACTTGAAAATCCCGCCATACATTTACACATTAAGTCATGTTTACCTATTAATATTTCCATCAATGATGATCTTCCTAAAGCAATATGTGAGTCTTGTGTTTCACAATTAAATGAGTTCTATAATTTTCAATTAAATGCCCGTTGCTCTCAGGACTGGTTAGAATCTTCTTTACAGGAAGAAACGAAAAAGTCGACAGATCCTAAGATTCACGTACAACCTCTTCCAGATTCAGAATATAATTCTGATTCACTACTCGAATTTTTGAATAATACAGAAAATATTGAGGAATATCTGAATAATTTAGGTAAAGAAGATATACCATCTATAGTAAATATGTTGGATAAGGCCGAAGGTACTGAATCACATAAAGTAACTAATAATAAATTAATTAAAATACCAAGTCCTAAAAAGAAAGATTCTGCGAGTACATCAAAAAAATCTTTAAACATGGACATAGATGTATTAGATTCTGACATAGAAATAGTAAAAGAATTGCTAGTTAAAGAAATTGAGCCAAAAAAAATTAAATTAGATAAAACATTCTCTTGTTTTGCTTGTAAAGCAAAGTTGAGCAGCATACAGAAGCTCTCTCATCATTTAAGTATTTGTGATAATGCAGTCAGGACATGTGTTCACTGTAATATACTTTTTGATTCGAAACTAAAGATGCGGCATCATGCTTTAACTCATAGTGTTCTAACACCTTTATCCTGTAATTGTGGTCAAGAGTTTGAAAGTAAAGAAAAGTTATTGCATCATAGCAAGAAATGTGAAATAGATCACATAGCATCAATGGGGTTCTCATATTCATGTAAAATTTGTGGAGAAAAATTTAGTGAAAGATTTCAACTTTTCAAACATGCCAGAGCTCACATTCTAAAATCTGAAGAAAGAGAGTGTAAACTATGTGGGTCTAAGTTTGTTGGTGATGATGCATTATTAAAACATGAAAAAAAACTTCATGAAAAAGATAATAAGGTTTTATTAAGGTAAGTTTTTTTTTTAATTTTGCAATATTGTTTTCTCTTTTTCCTAAGTTTACAGAAGTTTTTTAGGTACACATTTATTTTATAAGGCATGTGGCTCCTGGAGGATTGGCATATATTTGTAAATAGAGGTGTCGATGGAGAATGAAATATATAAAAATAATTTTGTAGAAATGAAAAAGGCAAAAGATATGAACAGTTATACTTATAATCTACTAGCAACTCACAGTCACTTCGCTTCGGTTTTGTCCTTAGTGAAAAACAAACACAAATCTATCCCACAGTAACCATACATTTTTCCAGGATAAACAGGTTATATAATAAACTAGCGGACCCGACAGACGTTGTCCTGTCTACACGTCTTTAATTTGAAAATTTCAAACTTTTTTTAATAATTTTTTTGATGAAAATTATTATTCAAATTGTGAATCTAAACCATTCCCAGATCCCCTTGAACACACACAAAAAATTTCATCAAAATCGGTCCAGTCGTTTGAGAGAAGTTCAGTGACATACACACTCACAGAAGAATTATATATATAAAGATAGCCTATGTGTTATTCCAGGCTATAATCTATCTTTGTGCCAAATTTTGTCCAGATCAGTTCAGCCGTTCTGTTGTGCGTCAGCCGTGAATGAGAAACAAACATCCATTCATTTACCCATCCATCCATAGTCATAAACTTTCACATTTATAATATTAGTATGGATTCTATACATGTATTTCTATACCAATTAAGTAATAAGTAAGGATGTTTTAGTTTTGTTGGTGGGTAATTAAAAAGACTGGGAAATATACAAAACATGAGACAACATTTCTAGGACACATTAATTACGGTTGTTCTTAAAATTTGTTAAATTTCTTTATTACTGTGTTTTTTTTGCATTTGTGTAATGTATACCTACTCATTGTTATATTATTATTACAGATTTCAATTTTTTTGTGACTTTTAAGTGTTATTAGTGTTTATTAAGAGTAAATTAGTTTACTATTTTTCAAATATTTATTTGTGATCTTAACTTTTGATTAGGTGTCAGATCCAACTCAGATTATAATAGGTGAGAAGCTACACTTCACTCCTGACTTTCTTGTAAAGTCTTTATTTTGACTTTGAGTTTAGAAGCCCTGCTTACTGCCTATGATAGTTTTAAATTCGTAGGCAGACACAACTTGTAAATATAACCCACTTGACACACCAGTGGTGGTGTGCCACATATTAAATTACAGTTATTTAAAGAATGTGTATAATATTTATGATTGCAGATGCAAAATATGTTTTTTTACATCAACAAATCACAAGGAGATTTTTAATCATGTTAAAACACATACAGAAGTAAAGGAGCCGCAAAGACATTTATGTGAGTCTTGTGGGCGAAGTTTTGCAACTAATGCTAGTCTCCAACGTCATTCCTTACAACATGAACCGAAGTGTTACAAGTGTTTTATATGCAATGAGAAGTTTTCATCTGCAAGATTGCGAGATACACATGTTGTAGAACATGTTGATGTTACGATGTGTGAAAAATGCGGTGATACCCTCAATTGCGCCAAGTTAGACATGCATATATGTAATTAATTTGTAAAATAAATGAATAATAAATAAATATGTTGGAACATTAATACACAGCACCATTTAGTTGTATGGTAAGCTACAAGGCTTGAACACATATATAACTTTAAATACATATATACATATTATGAACACCCATTCATGCTCATCACACGAATGAATGCCCCCAGCGTGATTCAAACCCGCGACTGCTGGTAAAACAAGTAAGGTCACTATAAACGAGCCAAACGTGTCGTCATCTTATAGGTAGGTTTGAAATTGTGATATACCAAATAGGTACTCTCTAACCTCTTGTTTTTAAACTTTTAGAATTAGTAAAATAAACTAAGGTTTACATTTAGTGAATCATTGAATAAGTAAATTTAGATAAAGCTTATAAAGTACAGGAAACTTGTAAATTAATAAAAATTGTTATTCTTCAAAAAATGTTCTTTATGATATTAATAAATAGCCTTAAAATAATTAAAATAAAGTTAAAAATAAATTTATTGTTAGTTTAATATGTACCTAAAATGCAAGATATTAGACAAATTATGTTCATCTCTCAATGATACTGACTTTCCTCACAACTGCTACAAGTTGCTTTATAATGAAAAAAAAATTTTTTTAGAACATCTTCCTCCCTTAGCAAAAACAAAACCAGCCCCGATGACCAAAATTAAAGAAATCAGACAAAATGATCCTTATTCTGTATGGCATAAGGTTTTTTATTTCGATTAGAAGCTTCATGTAGTATGGTATGCTGATACACTTTTTATTTCTTCTAACGCCTGTGAAAATAATTTTAATTGTCATATAATTATATATTTTTTTAATTTTTAGTTTTACACTATTTAGTTTTTTTAAATTATTTAATAATAGTAATGACTTAGGTCACATCGGCCAATCTCAGTGAGACTACGCATTTACGTAAGAGATACTAAGTACTTAATCATTGTGGGAAGACGATACACACCCGATGCAAGTTCGGGCTTGGATCCAACGGCTTTACATACTTAGCCCGAACCGAGACTCGAACTCAGAGTCTCTGGATTTATGGCTGTACAATGTACATGCTAAGCTCTTAAAGTCTAAACCAACGATGCAGTTAACACTATTACTTAATCACATTCATGGTGTTGCTTTTGGTTGACCGGAAATGTTTAGTATAAATTATACCTTCTATTATAATCTTCGCAGCATCCTTTGCCGTTATCTCTGAGTACCAAGATATGAAACGATGAGAGGGTGTAGGATAAAGGCCGGTGGCCACTGTGCCTAAGTATACAGATGTTGTGCTTATATTTTTTGTCCATGTCTGTTGACGTAGCTCCTCACTCATTGAATCCATGAGGCCTAAAATATATTTTTAGTAATGTCAATATTTACTACTAGCAGAACTTAATTTTTTTTGGCTTTACTACTAGCAGAACCTACAAAAGTCTTTTTGGCTTTATGCTATTAGTAATAATGTATACAAGTCTGCCTGATTTGTTTACATTTATGCTTGAGTAGCAGCATGGTGATATGATAGCCTATAGTCTTCCTCAATAAACAGGCTATCTAATGCAAAAAGAATTTTTCAAACCAGATTACTAGTTCCTGAGATTAGCGCGTTCAAACAAACTCTGCCTCTTTATAATATTAGTTAAAAGTCTATGCTGTGGGTACGTGGGTATTTATGTGTACATGGTAGATATTACATTCCTTAATGTTATTACATACCATATCTAATGATTGGTTACCTAGCAAGATTTTATATACTAATTTTATAGACAGATCTGAGACGGCGGAATTGATTTAAACGACAAATTCAATAAATGAAAAAATGTAAGGGTGTAATAAATTTTATTATATAGGTAGGTATCTATAATTATATTAATTATAAGTATTTGCTCCAATAGAAGTCCAGCTAGAGCAGGGAGTACATATACACTTAGTGCCTGTAGTACAGTCGTTAAGGAGTGTCAATAGGGCAGCACTGCTTCTCCATCACGATTAGCAAATCAAGCGTCGTATACTTACGACGGACGTACGGTTTCAACTTTCAGTATAACATAATAAGACTGTAAGTATTAAAATTATGAATAACTAGCATTGCCTACGGCTACGCCCGCGTTCAGATGACCGAAAACCAAATTCTTAGGTTTTACATATTAGTATACTCTCACATTGCAGTTATTGTATTTTTTCTCAGAAATGAGACATTTTCCCGCGGTAAAAAATATCCTATATTATGTTGACCCGGATAACCAGCTATCACCATACCAAATTTCATTAAAATCCCTCCAGTGGTTTTTCTGTGATGCGGTAACATAGAAAATTCTAAAAACTATAGATTCGGCCTCTGTATCGATAATAATGTTTATTTCAATAAGATTTTCCAAAAAATATTTAATGTACAGATTCGGCTTAGTTATAATTTTATTATATGTATAGAGGTATTAGCGACACGGATGTTATTCACAGTTTCATGGTTTTTTTTTGGGAACCCTAATTATTTTTCTAAAATAAAAGTAGCCTAACATCAGCTATCTGCCAGTGAAAGTTCCGTAAAAATCGGTCTAGCCGTTTCAGAGATCATCCGGGACTAATAGACAGACAAAAGTTTTAAAAATTGTTTATTTTCTTATACGTAAGTAGTATACTACCCATGTACCATGTATGCATACTTTCATATAGGTATGCATTTAGTAAAAAGTTGTTATTTTGTCGTTACAAACAGACACTTCAATTTTATTAATCATTACCTCTAAGACCAAACTTAGCAGCGCAATACGGCACCATCTGTGTGCAAGCCGAGAGGCCGGCGCTAGAATTGATAGCCACGATATGCCCTCTCCGCCTTTCTATCATATATGGTAAGAAAGCTTGTATGACCTAAAAGCATTTACGACCTTCATTATTCTTAAACATTTCGAATTTAAGGAAAGTGACTGGTTTCTTTTTATAGAAATACTTAGAAAAGAATTTAAAAAGATCTTTAAATATTTTGGATAAAAGTGATAGCGGAACTTTTTTATACGTTTTTGTTACCTCTGCAAACTTTCTATATGTTGGGACATTAATACACAGCACCATCTAGTTCCATGGTAAGATACGAGGCTTGTGTTATGGATACCAGATAGTTGATACAATACACATATATAACTTTAAATACATGCATGTTATAAATATAAACACCCATGACTGGAGTACAGGCATTCATGCTCATCACACAAATGAATGCCCCCAGCGAGACTCGAAGCCGCGACCGCTAGCACAGCAAGTGCGGTCGCTACAAACTGAGCCAAACGTGTCGTCTTAACTAACTATAGTATCTAAGAACAATTAAAGTATATTTCGTAAGATTAATTGTGAGAAAGCTTTACCCAAAAGTGCGCCAATAAATTAGTCTCAATCATTTTGGTGATTGCATCAGATCGTAAATGTACAAATGGTGCATATGTCAATGTACCAGCATTGCTCACAACGATAGACACGTCTGCCAAACGTCGCGTTCGCGCCGCTGCTGATAGCACCTGTTCTAATACTGTCACATCTACAATGAAACCTAAACACTGAAAGATCAAAATTGATACTAATTTAAAAAATACACTGTGTCTTTTATCATTAGAATAATATAGCATTTCCAAGAAATGCTAAGTATAAGAGGAATGATTTTTTCTTTTAGTTTTACTCAGTATGGAGATAGGTAATGGGTAACATGCCGCATTTTGTCTTAACAATAGAAATGTTACAATTAATTCGTTCGTCTCAGCCCAAATACGTCCACTGCTGGACATAGGCTTCCTCCAAAAATTTCTACGACAACCGGTCTCTTGCCATCCGCATCCAGTTAATTAGATATTACCAAAAATAATTGTTAAAGCTAAAGGAAAGTGTGGTGAATATTATTTTTGTTTACATTGCTTACATCTCCATCTTTTCCCCTAATTTCATCAACAACAGCATTGTTTCTTTTTGTGTCTATATCCCAACAAACAACAGTAGCACCTAGTTCAGCAAATTGTACTGCAAGCTCACGTCCTATACCTGAACCTGCTCCAGTTACCTAAAAATAGTTCAGACTTTATTAGATGGAACAATAATCGATGTAGTTTAACATCTATACTAATATTTTTTAATAATTTATTAATAAATCGTTTTCATTTTCATTTTTCAATATTATAGAGAGGTAAAGTTTGTGAGTTTGTGAATTGTGAGCCTGTGATTTGTTGGGCATAATTTCTGAATCTACTGAACCTGATTTGGTAAGAAGATAGTTTGAGGCCCTGGGAAGGACATAGGATACTTTTTTTTCTGGAAATCGTCCCTTAAGGGGGTGAAAACGGGGATGAAAGTTTAAGTGAAGAAACTCTAGTATTTATTATACATTTGGATCTACGAGTATTAAACCATTTAACATAAGTTCTAAAAGATAGCTGTCAAACGTTGAAACTCGTACAACTCTTCTCGAGCTTAGCACGATTAAAGAAACTGATAAATTATGATAAGTAGCTATATATAAATTTTCCAATATATTAGAAAATGAATTACTGACCAGTACGGTTTCCCCGTGCAAATTCTTTATAGTCCGTGGTAATAATACTTTAACGATAGCCATAACACATGTGGAACACAGTTTTAGAATCAAAACAAATGTATCAAGTGCCCAAAGTGGTATTGCTGTCAATCGTCTACTTTCCCACCAAGGAAATAACCATGTTTCCTGAAAAATCCTAAATTTTCGAGCTAGTCCACCTACGAGACGTATAAATATATTTCTTCTGCGCATAAAGTAAGTATATCTAAATCCAAAAATTATAAAACTATAAGACAGTATTGAAACATAAATAGTTTGTTTTAACTGACAATAAATGAAAAATAAAAAATACGTCGCAGCCAGTACTAAATGAGTTTAAAATCAGCATGCAATTTGCCAAAAAAACAATGTCAAATAGTATATGTTTTCAGCACTTGACTTGATTGTGGTTACGAGACATCTTATCTAAATAAAAACTTATAAAATGGCAAAACCGTTGCAAAAGGAGAGAGATAACAGATCAGCCGAGAAAAAAGATTTTACCTTCCATCCCTATAACATAACACCAGAAAGTGCGCATACCTCAATCCTTCTTCTGGAATCTGCTGAGCCTGAGATATTATGTCAAGTAAATCGTGTTGTTTGAATTATCTAATTACTAGTCTTGCTATCAGTTTTATCGCATAGTTACGCGAGTTTGAGTATACGCCACCATTTTCGTTAAAAGGCATTAAGCCGGAGTGCTTATACCTAATGCTTGTTCTGTTTTATTTTTAAACATGTCACCTCTTCCGCCTAACGGACATTTACAGATGTTTTTAGAACACCTCCGCCTAAAAGATTTCGTTTTTATATCATTATGGCCAATAACATTCTATTTCTATTTCAGACATTAAGAGCCATAACGAAATTTGCGGCCCAAGAGTTACAAAATCGCCACGTACTGTTCAATTTGGATGCAATAAAGTATATTTTGCCACACATAGAACATCCTGAGGTGAATATAAGACGTTTCGCTTTAAAAGCTTTGGCACAGCTTTGCCAGTTACCTCGAGGACCTGAACAAGTGTTGGTCAATCCACAGAACTTGAGAAAAATTGCCTTTATGCTAGTGAAAGTAAGACATGTTTATTAATTTAAAAATATTTATTTTAATCTTGAAAATTGACGACACGTTTGGCTCAGTTTATACTGACTTGCTGTGCCAGCGGTCACGGATTCGAGTCTCGCTGGGGGCATTCTTTTGTATGATGAGCACGAATGTACTCCAATCATGGGTGCTTACATTTATAATATGTATGTATTTAAAGTTATGTATATCTCGTGTATCAACTATCTGGTATCCATAATACAGTCCTCGTAGCTTACGATGGAACTAGATGGTGTTGTGTGTTAATGTCCTGACATATTTATTTATATTTATTTATTTATAAGTATGAAGATTCATAAAATAAATTGTACATATTCCTTAGGTTGAGGATGTTTTCGTGTTGGAGTTTGCCTCATTAGTTTTGTCTGAACTCACAAAAGAACCTCTGGGCTGTGAACAATTAGTATCAGCAAATATTCTTAACAGTTTATGTTCGCGAATGAAGAATAGTCTCGATCCAGACGTGCAGAAGAATTGCTTGCAGGTACTTATTGTTGTTTTTAATTATCCTAAATATTGCACTCATAATTATTACCTTCATACTTGTAACGTATAATTAAGTTCCATATTTAACCCCCAACGCAAAGAGAGGGCTATTATAAGTTTGACCGCAATGTGTTTGTCTCTGTCTGTGGCACCGTAGCTTTAACGGGTGAACCGATTTGGATGCGGTTTTTTAATTTGAAAGCAGGTTACCAATATTCCGATTTCTAAATATGTAAATTTTACAGACATTGAGTAATCTTCTAGAAGATCCAGTTTGCGCGACAGAAGTTACGAAAAATCAACAATTTAGTTGGCCATCGTTACTAGCGCTTATGCAAAGCAAATATCTTGCGATACAACACGCGGCTTTAAAGACTGTTGACCAGCTGATATGTAGATACAAGGACCAAAATGTGCAGAAAACATTCCAGGCATCCACTGGAGTATTGGATCTATGCGATATTTTAGAGGTATATCGTCTGATTTATAGACAACAGTATTTAATTCTAGGGAACAGTTATTTTAAATACGCTACGCTACGACATAAGCCTCTTACACCACCTCGATTTGTTTGCCGAAATTGATTGAAAACATTTATATTACCTAACTTTTATTTATCGGTAACTGGCAACTAGTACGTGAGACAATGCCTAAAGCCAAAAAATCTTTTAAACTTAAATAAATATAATCTTAATATAAGCTTTCAGTAGTTGTTTATGACAACTATCTTTCACTTTTAGTCTTACGAATTTCGGGACGTTCATACTCAAGTACTTGGAGTGTTACGGAATTATGCGGAAACGGAAGAAAACGCGGCGCATCTCTACCAATCTGGCTGTATCTTGCGACTGCTGGCGTATCTGGAAATGGCTCTCCCGGCGATGAAACCGCATTGCCTGGCTGTACTCACTAAGATGTCTTTCACTTCTAATGGCAGAGATGTTAGTCACGTTAGACTTTTTAAATAGAAATTTAATTAAAGCAAAAATGATGTACAGATCTTTGAAGTAGACTTGTAATAAGGAAAAATATTACTCTACTTCACAACCTGCTTTAAAAACCAATAAATTTGTGAAAGGATTTTTACTTTTCACGATGTTTGCTTATTTAATGATGGTTAAATTAACATATTTTTTTACAACTTTTATATATATGTAGGTACTGAGTAAAAATTTTACTAATACACTAACTAAACCTTAGTAAGTTTCCAAAATTATTTTCATTATATATTCAGGCTCTGTACCAAACTGGCACCGACCTGGTGTTCTGTCACCAATTGCTCAGTTCCAACGTGGAGCTTCTAGCGGACGCCGCGTTGGGGGTAGCGAACATGACCAAGCTCCTACCGGCGGCCGTGCGCATGTCTGATACCAATATCATTGAGGCGCTTTGTGGTAAGCATTGATAAATATTCACTTTTGATTTTTAATTACTAATATTTGACATCGATGCTAATATTATAAAGGGGCAGTTTGTTTGTTTGTTTGTTTGTTTGTTTGTTTGTTTGTTTGTTTGTTTGTTTGTCTGTCTGAACGCGCTAATCTCAGAAACTACTAATCCGATTTGAAAAATTATCTATTTCATACTAACCGTTAAAACGTATCTAGTTTTATATAAAGCTATATTTTAGGATTTATTTTGATTTTTGGTTCCCGACTTTTCGAATGCCTTACAGCATCAATCAATTAGACTGCAGAGAGGTCTCTTTTAATTATTTTTATAACTAAGTTAAAAATCGCCACTCATAAATAATTCTGTGTTTGATGATGTTACTTTGCATATTTTTATTCAATATGTGAAAGACTACCTAAGCATACCTTAATAATTAAGTATATTATTTAAATACTTTTTATATATTAAAATAATTAAAGTAAATACTTTGAAACAAAAATGCTAACACTGAATCTAAAATCATTTTAAAATTAATTATGTTACTGTTAATGGTTATAGTAGGGGAGCCCAAGAGGGGATTTTCTGTAGTTACTCGAGCGCGGCAGATTAATATACAGGGGGATACCTTGTACCCGGTTAAGTACCTCCACAAAACATGAGGCCCATATATAAGGCCGCCCGTGAAGGATACAGGATCAGATTAGTAAAAAAAAATTGACCACCAGAAATTCTCGAGCGCGTCAGATTAAGGTAGGGTGAGTTAATTACATCCTAAAAAGTGTATATTCCACTAATCTGACAATTTGAGAGTGACGTAAAAAAAGGGGAGGGCAACAAAGTTGTAAAAAAAAAACGTCATCTCGACATTCTCGAGCGTAGCTAAATTTTTTTTTATTTTGAAGGAAATAATGCAAGAATAATGAAAAATATATAATCTGACGATTTCCGCAAGCCGAAATAACAAAAATTCGTCGATAAAGTTAAATGCGTGCAGCTGCGTGATGCCTACATTTCCTTCTCCGCGTTTCTATTCCTCTCTCACTCTTTCTCTATCTATTACTCTCTCACTCCGTCCCCACTCTGGTTTCTGCCGCCATGACACCATCACAGCTGATCATAAAGAGTCTAGGGGTGTGCGAACATCGTTCGAATCGAATCGAATATCAATATTCGATTCGAAATTCGAAAAATTTCGAATAATTCGTAAAAAATTCGAATAATTCGAAAGTATTCGAATAATTCGCGAATTAATGAAATATCTCTGGATCTTCAATTGTATCCATTTAAATTCCTTTAAATCGTGTGTCAAAATAGTCTACTTACGAATAATATACTTTTCGTTTAAAAATAAATTACCCAGAGAAAACAATTGCTCATTTTTTAAATTTGCAATATATGTTCGAATTATTCGAAATTTTTCGAATTATTCGGGAATTTTCGAATAATTCGAATTTTCGAATTATTCGAGTCGAGTTTCGAATCGAACATTAATATTCGATTCGGAACGAATAATTCGTAAGTTCGAATTATTCGCACACCCTGTTGTATTAGTTTATCAACCGACTTCAAAAAGGAGGAGGTTCTCAATTCGACTGTATGGTTTTTTTTTATGTTTGTTACCTCAGAACTAAGAAATATAATTCTAAATATATTCTATATATATATATATATACTATACATATATAGAATTAGCGGGAAGTTGCAGGTATGGCCTTTAAGGTGAACCATTTTTCTAATTTTTTTTTGTCAGATCAGGCGAATCCCTCTAGATAATCGTCAGATTATGAGACAGTACGTTTAGAACATAAAGATGAACCATATATATCTTAATCTGACGCGCTTGAGTATTTCAAAATGGCGATTTTTTTTTGCACATTATGAAAATGGCCGCGAGTTTGCGTCCCATCGAAATCGTCAGATTAGTGAATGAGAGCTTTTTTTTTGGTGCACTTAACACTCCTTTAGAAAATCTGACGCGCTCGATTAATTTTTTTTTTTTTCAACCCTTAAATACAACCACCCGCATCATGCAAACGATCAGATTAACATACGTACATTATTAAAAATACGTAGGGCATTTATGCTATCAATATCTGACGCGCTCGAGGATGTCTATGCAACAGTTTTTTTTTACATATTTAAAAATCTATAGCCGCTTCCCCACCGATGTAAAGGTATATATCATATAACATTTTTTTCTTCTTATCATCTAAGCTTTGCATCCCAATAGGTCTCTACGACGCTCGAGTAAATCCCCATTTAGCATCGTGGGCTCCCCTACCATTATGTTTTCCTTCTTTCTTTAAACACGTTGTTGTAACTTGTACCTATTTATTATAAAAAGTATCATTAAAATTGGTTAAGCTTCTGTATAACATGCGTGCACACAACCTCCTTGCTGTTTTTGAAGTCAGTCAATAAAAATATTATTAACTTTCCATTTTTTATAGGAGGTATATCACGGAGGGGTTCTAAAAAAAATAAAGATGCTTTCAATAAAAAAAAATATTTAAATATAATTTTTCCAGCGATACTAAGCGATGATGGCGCAGTTTGGTTCTACATCCGCATGAACGCACTCAGAGCTTTGGCAGAACTTTGTCGAATCATCCCTAAAGCTGCATTCAGTGTAATAGAGCCTAAGACGTTTGCATCTTTACGGAATATTAATAAAAAATGTTAGTATATAACGAGAAATCATATTTTTAGCTTTATTTTTGTGGGAGAATTCTTAAAATCAAAAAAAGTTCGTAACTATTTTAATAATAATTTTGTAATTTTTAAAAACAAAAATAGTTTTAGACAAATTGTACTTTATGAAGACTCGTCCAAACAAATTCAGTTTTTTGTTTTTGATCTTTTTGAAGCATTTTCTAGTATCTGTTGAAGAATTCCACCATCCTAGGACCGCCATCAGATAGTTCTATGGTGTTTTTTTTGTTATCCTGATTTTACATACCTATTTCAAATCAATTCGATAATAATTGTTGGAGTGTATATATTCAATACAAGGCATCTACGAAATAGGCAGTTCTAGATCTCTGTGTCATAAAATATACCGAAACGCCTATGGGAATTTTACCATGGTTTTATCGATCTCACTGAGTAAATGAAATCAGTCAGGACATTGGGAAATTATCATATTATCATAGGTTTTGCAAAGTAAAATAGAAGATATAATCTATTACTGAACAATTACCACAATTGCTGAACAAAATATAATGAACTTTTGGAATATAAATGTTATAAGTGACATAATTTTGAACAGTCAAAGACACTCCAATAGAAGCCCAGCGGCTCGCGGTACAATGCTACATCAACCTGCAGAGCTACCACGTCAGCACTAAAGCTATGCTCAATGCTGACTTTATGCAGGAGCTATTGAATATTTTACAGGTAATAGCAGGGACGGCTTTAGAAGATTTTGGGTGAAAAGTTTTTTTGGATGTTTTGTTTTATTGTGTGTCAAAATTATGGATAAACAAAAACGGAATTTGTTTTTCTTTTTCATTTGAATTTAATGATATTTTAAACGAACAATGAATTCCTTTATTGTGATTCAATTTTATTAGGCATTATTTACCCCGTATAATTTAATCTAGCAGGTATTTTGTCCGTAGAAATGTTACTGTGAGAAAAACTCTATTTTTTTGTAAATGTCTGCAATATTTATTTATTCATTGAATAATATCGTTTATATACAAGAATTATACAGTAATATATTTGTTGTAAAAATTGTATTTCAGCGGATTGATATTAATCTTAAAATAATGACATGCACTGTTCTAAGTGGTCTCATGAAAGAAGAAATTGCGCGAGACCTGTTCACATCTAAACAGGGAGAACAGGTAATAAACCTGATTGTTTGTACTTTGGTACCTAAAGCATAGATTTTTCAATTAACACTGAAGGTTATTCATAGTATAAAACATGTTACAAACATAACTAAATTATAGTCATACGACTGTAGTTTTATGTATTCAATAAGACATTTAATAAGATACCTACGTCTAGTTTTGCATTCTTTAATTAGTTAGCGAGCTTCGACAAGATATTTTAGATTTGTTAACGACGATAGTAGTATATATATATATATATATATATATATATATATATATATATATATGGGGATAGTCATATGCATATTATAAGTATGTCATTTTGATACAATTATCAAAATGAGAGACTCAGTCTCTAGAATGCTATCTTGATAGAGAATAGGTATCTATGGTGTTATCTTGTCTTGTCCATATTGTTTATCCAGTTTTTAGTGGTATGGTATAATTTAAAATATCACCGGACTCTTCCATTTAGTGTGACATTAAAGAAAAAGAATCTCATCAGATGATTCCTAAATAAGGATTTAAAAATGTCAATGTTTTTATCATGTATCTAAAATCTACATGTATACTGAACTTTGCGGGTGGATGTCTATACCCCGTGACCATGGCACTACTCAAAACCTAACATTACATCTTACATCTTATTTACATCTTAAAAATATTATCAGTGACCATGAAAACTTAACGTTATTATTAAACGCCTTCTCCATTCTACGTGATATTGGCGAAGTAATCTATGTTCAACTGGCACGTTTTGAAGCCAATAACAAGGAAATTGAATTAAAGACTTCTTCTTCTCCCTGCCCATTTTCCAATCACTCGGGGTCGGCGCAGTACATCTTCTGTTCTGCTGAAAGGATTTGGCAAAAGTTTTACGACCAGCCGCCTGCCTGACGTCTATCCTCCTTGGGAATGCTATTGTCTCTCTTTGTCTGGATGATGTCGCAGAAGTCTTGTAATATATATGCACTTTCTATTTTTTGTCTTTTAAAACATTTTTTATACTATTAATTATATTTTTTATGTTATTTTTGGATATATTTTAAAATAAATTTTCATTACACAATAAATTTTGTCTTAACGTCAATTTTTTTCTAAATTGAATTAAAGACTAATATTCAAAAATGTCATTCAATAATTGAAAGGTAGTATCGAGCAACTTACGCGTGGAACATGTGGGCTTGCGCACTGCTCTGTGTACGCTGATCTGTGCCAGTGTCACTGATGAGGGAGCTGACGTGTATCTGGACTTGGGAACTATTCACTAGTGAGTAGTTTGAAATGTTTCCGTCATTAAATGTACATATTATGATTTGAACGTATAGTTGTATGTAGGTGTGTTTGCATTCAGCCATTTTTTTTAAATCTCACTGCTGGGCACGGATCTCCCTTCAATACGATGGGGGATCGATCTACCAGTCCACCATGCTGGTCGTGTGCGTGCGGACTTCAAATGTTTTTCGGAAACTTTCTAGGTTCTTTCAGACATGCACGTTTGTTCACGATGTTTCGCTCACCTTAGGACTAATGGTAATTATGTTGAAAATAATTCGCACATAAAAATATCAGAGGTGCGAGACCCGGGATTTGAAACCGCTTCAATTGGTTTTCCAAGAGAGAACATTACCACTGGGCTACCACTGTCTTTTTGTCTTTCTGTTTGCTCGTGAATTTTTCTAGAGTAGAAACTTGGGTATCCTCAAGTTTCATTTCAAACGGACTTACTACTACTGACTGATTCCTAAATCTAAGGACGTTCTAAAGATGGACGGTGAAGATGTGTCTTCCCATATGAACATGATGGCCATTAAATACTTTCTAAGTAAAAACATAATTGCATATGAAATTTACTGTAAAACTAATTTAATTTATTGTACAGTATGGTAGAAAATAAGCAAGCAAGATATGTGGTAGGGGCTTGGGAACCCGCCTTAGAAGCTATATTTCGCCATCATGCTTCTGCGAAGTTGGCGTACACTGGCCGCTTGGATATCAATGATTTTACACAGGTTGTTTTTATTTATAATTATATAATAAGACACGATCTATAAAGACTTATGAAAGATAGAAGCTCTAGTTCTGTATCTACGTAAGAAAAAGTATTTTATACAATTATCATTTAAAATTATATTTCAAACTAGCGACTCACTCACGCTCCGCTCGGGTTCGTCCCTAGGTGATTCTTTAAAGTAACGTAACTTTTTTAGTTATGAACCGATTGTAATAAAACAAATACTAAATGTTAAGTGAAACTTACCACAATATATAAGTGTAAACCGCATCCAAATCGGTTAAGCCGTTTCTGAGATTAGCTCGCACAAACGCACAGACAAACAGACAAAAAATCTAAAAATCATTGTTTTAGGTTCTATTGCTTAAATAAAGACCCCCAATGATAGTTTTTCTCGAATATTTTCTATGTACAGACCGATCAGTTACAATTTTATTATATGTATAGATAGATATCTATTATAATCCAATGGGACGATAATTTGACACGACCGGTGAGAGATCAGGTGCAGGACCGACGGCTTTACGTGCTCTCCGAGGCACGGGGGTGAAACACTGTCAATTTCCCACTCCGGGCTGTTACTGAGACTTCCTTAATACAAAAACTCAATAATTAGCTCAACTCGGTATTCGAAGCCAGGACCTCCGATTGTAAAGTCGTAAATGCTAGCCACTACACCACTGAGGCAGTAATGATGTAATCAAAACTATAATTTAATATTAAAATTTAAATACCTTTGCTTTAATTCAGGAAGGTTTTTATGTACAAAAACATCTTAGCAGTTCGTTTCCCACAATCCAAAACCTATCGAAGGCTTCTACTCCTTACCTTGACCCTGTCTTCATATGTATGTTCCGTCAGCCTTATGATGTCATCTCTGGCGTAGATATTAGATCGCCGTGTGAGTATTTTTACTCTTATAGAATTTTTTATTGAGCTTCTGTGAGTATATCATTAAATTCAATAGTATTTTTGACACGCAAGCGACTTTTTAGGGTAATAATTAAGAAAGTAACAATTAAAATTTTAATAAATAACCTACTAGGTAGGTACTTACTATTGACATTTCCAAATTAAATTTCCATAATTTTCTATTTTTGGGATTTTGTTATTGCTGCCTTTTTTCTTTTCGTGAGTGCTCGTTAACATCATATACATATCTATGTTAGTGGAAACTAACTGTGTTGGTGTACGTACTAATGTTTTAATACTGTTTTCCAAAAATAGATAAATAAATAAATCAAGTAAGACCTACCACCTAGTTAAAGATATAATTTTATTATTAAATATTAAATTCTTTTAGATGAACAGATATCATATAAATATGATGCATATTTTCGATATATTCGCAATATTTAACATAGTCAATGGAGCTTTTGTGTTTTAGTTAGAGATATCGATTGTCTAAATAAACACTATAAGTAATGTATTTGTAATTATAATTTAATGTCGCAAATTCTAACACATTTTGGCACTTTTATTGCATATTTTGATAGATTTATGTTTTTAAGCTATCTTTTTATCATAGAATATATAAGAATAATCGTTTTTATTATATAAACAATACCTACTTACAGATCATCACTCAGAGTCTAGAATCAATATGTCTCAATCGAGTCGCATACGTTTTCCCGTCTTACCCGATGACGCTAATTTGCGAAACTACTTGCTACGTTTGCGTATTTGGTTTGGTGATCCGTTAGTAAAATATTGTTAAATTAATTATTTATATCTACTAATAAAAATGCGAAAATTTGTATGTGTGTTTGTTGTTTCATCACAATAAAACGCCTAAACGGATTTGTATGTACGTCTGTGTACAACGTAGACAATGAGTATAGGACTCTCATATAACTTACGATAGTCTTTAGATCCCTTTAATTTCATCCTGTCACAAAATCTGTTCTTACCTGCCTACCTTTAGCTTTATATAAGATTTCAAGTTTTCGTGATTTTGTGCTTATTCATTGAGTGAATGAGTAAATTTTCACTCTTAATAACAAATATACGTTTAGTATAGATTTCTCAGAGATGAGATATCTTCCCACAGTAAAAAGTATCCTATAGGTAGGGGAGGGGGGGGCATAGTAGGGTACTTAACGTTTAAACATTCCTAAAACCTAAAATAATGTGATTAAATTAAAAGTTTTAACTTAGAATTATAGCTTAATTCATTGCGAATGCCTATGGATACATTTATGTTGATAACGTAATTACTCTACGAGATATAAATACTTAAATGAAAAAAGGCATTTGACCCGCTATGCCCCGTGCATAGGGGTAAAGTGGGGTCCCCTATGGGGCATTGTGGGGTGGTCATAATAAGAAACGAAAAACAACTTCCAAACGAAATAGTTTTATTTCTTAGCAACATAACGACAGTTTAAAATAAAAATAAAAATAACAACACTAGCATAACAAATTTACTACAAAAACTTCTCTTTATTATTATTTTTCTAAGTTAAAGAAATCAGAGATCACACAAAAAACTTTAACATGTTTCTTTAAACTTTTATAAAACTTAAAAATAAAAAAAGGACATACAGAACTTTGGTTCAGTTAAGTAACGAATTGCGGTTAGTTATAAACATCTCCTTTAAAACTTCAATCACGATAACAAAAAATAAACGTAACTATTTAACTAATAAACTAACTTAAATATAAAAAAAGGACATACAGAACTTTGGTTCAGTTAAGTAACGAATTGCGGTTAGTTATACACATCTCCTTTAAAACTTCAATCACGATAACAAAAAATAAACGTAACTATTTAACTAATAAACTAACTTAAATATAAAAAAAGGACATACAGAACTTTGGTTCGGTTAAGTAACGAATTGCGGTTAGTTATACACATCTCCTTTAAAACTTCAATCACGATAACATAAAATAAACGTAACTATTTAACTAATAAACTAACTTAAATATAAAAAAAGGACATACAGAACTTTGGTTCAGTTAAGTAACGAATTGCGGTTAGTTATACACATCTCCCTTAAAACTTCAATCACGATAACAAAAAATAAACGTAACTATTTAACTAATAAACTAACTTAAATATAAAAAAAGGACATACAGAACTTTGGTTCAGTTAAGTAACGAATTGCGGTTAGTTATACAATAAATATATAAAATAAACGTTTTTAATCATTTTAAGCTGTAACAAAATTAGTTTTCAATGCACAACGCACATAAATGAGTAGCCTCTTCATCTTTTTCATCCTCTCCAGCACAAGAGTAGTGTGCCCATCGAGAACATTTTAGACAACGTATCCATCCCTCGGTTGACTCTGACCACAAGTAACCACAATAGATGCATTCAGCATCTTCAGCATCAGCATATTCTTCTGCAGAGCTTTTGCTGCCTTTCTTTGTTAACACCTTTCTCTTCTTCTGTTTGATGGATTTCAATTTCAAATCTTTAGCTACCCTCTTTTTCTGTTCTTTTAGTTCTGCGGTCTTTTTTATGGCTAGAAGCTCGTTTTTGTACGGTGATTCTGTGATGATTGCTGTTTTCCCTCGTTGCTTACTAACTCTTTTGCTTGTTCTATTCTCCTTAGGCACTGGCATTATTTGTTCTGGAGTTGTTGCAAAATTCGAGGGCCTATCGACCATCCAAGAACAACCAGGTTGTGGAGAAGGTTGCTTAGGCGGGGTTTGTATATTCCTGCCCTGTTGTCGTATTTGCGATGGTGGTGTCTTGTTATCGGTCAAAATTTCTTGGAGTGGTTGTCTGGGTGGGGTCTTGACACCAGGGTCACCTTCTGGGGTTTCTAGTCTCATTGGAGTGTTGTCTCTCTGCGAAATGGCTTCGTTAACTAAAGGCACCTTAGTAGGTTCAGGATTGTCAGTAGTGTCCGCGGGTGCAAAATCTACGTCAGTGAAAACATCCTTGTTGATAGGCCATATACCTGTAGTTCTAAATGCATTAATAGCAGTCGTCATTGTTGCTGCAGACACAAAAGCTTTTCCGAATAGGCCAGCTGTCTGAAATTGTGTCACCACACGTCCGGGATGGCTCCGCAACCAATTCTTTATTTCGCTGGAATAATATGTGCTTATAGGTCTCATGAACCCAACATCCAGTGGTTGGAGTCGGTGTGTGCAGTGAGGTGGAAAGCACAATAAAATAACACCATTTTCGCGAGCCAAATCAATGACCTCCACAGATTTAACATGTGCTGCATGACCATCTAGCAATAAAAGTGCTGGATTATCTTTGGTAGAATGCGACCACTCAATGAATCTCTTTAGCCAGAGGACAAACAAGGGACCCTGGATCCACCCAGATTCGTGACATTCTCCCCAAGATCCAGCTGGTGCCCCATCAAGCAACTCCGGTTTCATACGCTTCCTTGGAAATATAAACATTGGCGGCATATAGTTGCCAACTGCGCTGAAGCAGAGAATTGTGGTCATTAGTTTTCCCCTTTCTGCGGAGGTCAGTGTTCCTACCTGCCTCTTGCCACAAGTAGCAAGGATTTTTGATTGACTTTTGGGCACTGTGGATACACCTGTCTCATCAACATTGAAAATTCTTTGTGGAGTAAGCTTATGGTCATCGTAAACCTTTTCTAAAAGTTGAAAAAAACTTTCAACAGCTACTTTATTGAAACCCATAGCTCTAGCTGCTGATGTTGGTTCAGGTTTTCTGTAGCTAATATCTGGATGTCTTTTAAGGAACCCTTTTAACCAATCTATACCAGCCAAACCACTCTCTGAATCAAATTTATGAGGAATTCCATTTTTTTGAGCCACTTCAAATGCAAGTTTGCGCAGATCACGTGAAGTCAGTCCATGAAACCGTGCTTCCATCAGTTTTATGTAATCAATTAGTTCTCTCTCTTGATCGGGAGAAAACACGCTTTGGAAATGGCCCAATTTCTTTTGAAAGATGCTGTCGTCTGGATTGCCCCGATATTTAGAAACATAACGTTCTAATGTTGTTTGTGGAACGTTGTGTATATTTGCTGCTTTTCTGTAACCCACTTCTCCGGACACAACACTGTGTACAGCTTGTTTCATAGCTTCCACAGACCATGAATGCTGTTCAGTCTTCCTCTTGTATGTGCGGACCATGTTGGCTAAAAACGTAAAAAAAAATATATATTACAACTTAGAAGTCTTTAAAACGGGGCAAAGTGGGGCACTTTTCTATAATAAAAAAAAGTGCCCCACTTTGCCCCAGGCACCAAACCCCACTATGCCCCACCGGCTCGTTCAAAATTAAACACAAACTGACGGCATCTTACCTTTGATTCAATGACCTTGTGCTGGTTGATTAAGAAATCCGGAAGGGAACTGATTCATAATAAACTATAACACACCACAGTACACAAGTACGTTTTAGAAAGAATTGCTGTTCAATTTCCCTATTTTTTTTAAGAAAAACACTGTTTTTGATATTTTTGCTTACATCACACAAACGCGTACCGAAATGGCGTGGCTTGCATATGGAGGTCACGCGCCGACTAACGACCAATCAAAGCGAGCCATTTGACAGTTTACACAGCGTTTGTTTTGAGCTGGGTAAGGCTCGCCCCGCTATGCCCCGTGGCCCCGCTATGCCCCCCCCTCCCCTACCTATATTGACCCGCTAGCTATCATCCATATATCAAAATCTGTCCAGTAGGTTTCTCGTGACGCGTTCCCAGACAAACCGACACAAAATGACTATTTCAATAAGATTTTCCAAAAAATATTTATTGTACAGATTCGACTCAGAATTTTATTATATGCATACTAGTATATGTATATGCTAGCAACTTAAACCTTGCGTCGCTCTCGTACGTTCCTAGATGTATTATTATAGTATATCGCCCAATTGCGGCGAAGCCTAATAGTAGGGGAGCCCAAGAGGGGATTTTCTGTAGTTACTCGAGCGCGGCAGATTAACATAAAAGAGGTTACCTTGCACTCTATTGAGTACTTTCACCATAATATAAGTCTTCTATATAAAGGGGCGCGTCTAGGGAAGCCGATTAAAATATTTAAAAAATGTTTTGATAAGGTAGAAATACTTGAAACCGTCAGATTAAGGTGTGGTAGGCTAGTCACATCCTGAAAAGTGTCCAATTCAATAATCTGCCGATTTGCACAAGCCGAAGAGGCAAAAATCGACTATAAAGTTTATGATGATTTTTGCCTCTTAGGCTTGTGCAAATCGGCAGATTATTAAATTGGACACTTTTCAAGATGTGACTAGCCTACCACACCTTAATCTGACGGTTTCAAGTATTTCTACCTTATCAAAACATTTTTTAAATATTTTAATCGGCTTCCCTAGACGCGCCCCTTTATATAGAAGACTTATATTGTGGTGAAAGTACTCAATAGAGTGCAAGGTAACCTCTTTTATGTTAATCTGCCGCGCTCGAGTAACTACAGAAAATCTCCTCTTGGACTCCCCTACTATAAAGGAGAGTTATGCATTTGACCTGTATGTCAGCTTGTTTTCATATTTTTAGTCGAAATTTTTTATTTTTTTACGATATATTTTTTATTTGTTCCTCCAGACCATAGCCTATAATCTGTAAGTACATCTGATTCAGCGCGAAAGAGTAACAAACAAACACACACATACAAATTTTCGCATTGATAATAGGTAGCTAATTATAATTACCTGGCAGCCGACCGATTATCGGTTAGATTTATTGTACCCAAACATTTATTATATTTACATCTATAATAAGTAAAAACAAATTATTTATTATTCGTATTTAAACAACTTTTTTTTTAATTTTCAGCGCAAAGTCGTTACATTGCTTCGAAATAGAAGATGTACATTATGAAGTGAGGTAAAAAATCATTTCTAGTCGTTGCTCGAGTTCAAAAACTTATTAATTTTTAAAATTTAGACATATATACATATATCTACATTTGTTTTGTATATTTAATCTTATAACATTAAATAAGCAGTTCTTGTATATATACACATTTATTTCGTGTATCTTGAAAACGGTGTCGTTTTTTAAAAAAAAACACATAATTTTTATTTCTGAAAAAACATTAAATGGAGCACGAGCGCTTATGAACTTATCACTACATAGTATAAAACAAAGTCGCTTTCTCTGTCCCTATATCCCTATGTATGCTTAAATCTTTAAAACTACGCAACGGATTTTGATGCGGTTTTTTTAATAGGTAAAGTGATTCAAGAGGAAGGTTTTAGTATATAATTTGTTAAGTTTTTGTATACATTGGCTAAAATATAACGATATTTGTGGAAAATATAAGACTTCTGGGAGCTTTTTGTGTATCTTATATAGGTCTACAGAAAAGTCCGCGATGGCATATGTCTATCTCATAAGGATAACATACTATATCCATTTTAATTTAAAACGTACATAGGGACGAACCCGAGCGAAGCGAGGGTGAGTCGCTAGTGTATATTTATAAATTTAGATACCGAGACAAATGTCAAGAAGTGTCGTCTTCGCTAAAGCAAAGGGCACAGCTGTTGGGCGAGTTCGTAGCGGAGCAGATGAGTGGGCTCACTCAAGAGAGGGACTGCTCTATGCCCAGTGTTAACTTGCATTTGGCCGATTTAATGGTACTTTATAGATATTTTAGATGTAGTTATACCTAATTGTACAGTAACTGTTGGTCTTTGGCTTCGAGTCTCGTGTCGGGTCTAAATAGTTACTTGGGGTTTTTTGCCAGGAAATACTTCGTAGCAGTCTGAGGTTGGGAAGTCGACGATGTTGTCATTCTCATGCCTCAAAGAGCACGTTTAGGCCATTTATATTTTGAAAACACAATACACAATCAATTTTTTAAAAGTAAACAAAAATAGTTTAATGATAGAATAACCAAATTAAATGTACGCATACACAATATACTAACATACATACGTCGTTTTGATATTAACAGTATAGTTTAAACCAGAAACCAAAGTTCTGACCATCATTATGAGCTCCGCACTATACTATTTCTAGATATATTCGTCACTAACTCAAAGGACACGGCAGTATATCAACCAAGTTCTAATAAGAAAACTATGGTATATTTTCAGAATGAACTAAAAACCTGTATAATCGGTATCGGTTTCGTCCTATGCGGCGGAGCTTTAGAGAGGGCAATACTTTACAAAGTGCTGGCAGACCGCGTGGGGTTGCCGTGCTCGCTGCATAGAGCGTCGAGTGCGCACGCGTGGTGTGAGGTGGCTGTGCCTGAACTAAATCCTGTTTGTATTGGATTTAAAAACCCACTTTTATAATAATTTATATTTACGCGAAATATTTTGTTAGATTTACCTAATACTTTATTATACCAGCTGATCCGATCTGAAGGTTTCGTTTTTGAGTAGGTATACATACAAATATTCTATAAAAGAACGTAATCCCTTTTTTTTTAATTTTTCCCAAATTTCCCAATTTTCCGGGCAACTTCCAATCATTCCTCCTAAAATTCTTTTCCGTTAAATTACAAGCCTTCAATAACATTAGCCATATGTTTCCAGGCGTTTTCAAGTAATATATACTTGCCAACGAATAGTATTTCGGTTTTATTATATAGATACGCTATAACTCTCCAGGCTGAAGACCTACAAGAAGAAGAGAGCTATCCAGCAGGACTTCTCAGGGCTAACTATGTGGTAGACCTTATGGAGGCACCAGGGAAGTTACTGCCGCGTCTCTCGGTAGAGGCTCAACGCGTGTGCGGGAAGCAATGCTCGCCTTACATTGCGCGGACTCTACCGGAGATATGCAAATGTGAACATTGAATTACGTAGTCTCCATAAAATAACTTACAACTCACTCTTAACAATGATATTTACTCTTGTTATTAAAATAAGGTTATTTCATGTTAAAAGTACATTAAAAAATAAAACTTCTTTTGACTTTTTTTACCAACTTTGAAAAATGATAGGCTATTTGGGTAGTTTCTTGTGGGTATATCACGTGTATCGGCTAAGGCCGATTATGATCCGATTTTCATTAACCCTTTTTATTGAATAGATTTTGCTTTATGTATATTTTTAAATTAAAAAAAAAATAATGTAACGCTTGAGGTACAAAAATTTTGATGTTAACTTCTTACGTGTATACATAAGTACACACAAACGTTTTTTTTATTATTTAAATAGGCAGCAGTTGCCACGGCTAGCAATAAAGGTAGCACAGCAAAAAAATGTTGTGCTCGCGACTCGACTAGCTTTGGAATTCATTTTATCCACTGTAGTACCTACTTTCGGACTTAGTAATATTACTACTATGAACTTTATTTATTGTATTTAGCTCTTTTTAACACCCCACTGCTGGGCACGGGCCTCCCTTTAGTGCGAGGGGGGCCAGATCATAGTCCACCACGCTGGCCGAGTGCGGGTTGGTGGACTTAACATATCATTCGAAAAGTTGTTAGTTTTTCCAGACGGATTTCCTCACGATGTTTTCCTTCACCGTAAGACAAGTGGTAATCATGTTGGAAATGATTCGCACGTGATAATATAAGAGGTCTCGAGACCTGGAATTTGAATCCGCACAACTCCCAAGCGAGCGCGTTACCACTGGGCTAGGCTATATCTGTATAAATATTTTAAATGTAAAAGTATGTTTGTTACTCTTTCACGCCAGAACGGCTGAACGAATCTGGATGAAATTTGGCACACAAATAGATTATAGTCTGGAATAACACATAGACTACTTATTATGCCGGAAAAATATACGTTTCCTGAGGGGAAGATTTGTTATTTTTCTAGAGGCGAAGCGAGTGTGAGCCGCTAGTAAACATAAACATGTTATTCTTAATTTGAGCAATGTGGATAAATAAAAGATGTTTTAAATAGAATCGTTTTTATTTTGAAAACTATACAAGGTGTAAATTTCGTATATATAATAAATATTCTAATATTATCATCACTGAGGTACCAAAAGGCACTTTGCTTAATGGACGGTTGGACGATCACAAACATTAACTTAATCTAATTTTAATTAATAATAAAAATAAGCATTAAATTTTAAAAAAATAATACAAAATATACGTTTTGTTTTATAAAACTGTATACATATATGTCTAAAACTCATACAACCAAAGAGGTCGGTAACTAAAACAAAACTTTTTAAAAGATGTAAAACTCATTAATAGCTTCGATCAAATCGAAGTATATATTGCCAAATAAAAAATATAAACTATAAATCATACTCCAGTCAAAAATCTAAGTATGGCAACATAAATAAGTGACAACCTTAAACGGTAATATTAACTAGCGGTGGTCTAATATGTCATCATACGTTCAACTAAAATATAAAATTAATACGTCATTAAAAATAAATGTATTTTTAACATGGTATTATTTTTTACAGAGTAGGTATATAAAAGAAATCGATTCTATTCGATATTTGTCTTATGTAATTATTATTTATTTTTTTTTTAAGTTATACTTCCTTTAGGACGTTTCACACGTTTTTTTTAATAATAAAACAGTCTGTGTGTAAAGAATACTATGTAGATAATTATAATTTGCTATACCTAGTGCATATTAACAAAATGTATATATGTATGTATGAATGTATAAAATTCATTATTATAATATAAGGAAAAATATTGATATTATCATTTTGTAACTAATGTGTCGTTAAATTGAATAATTTAATCATTGAAACGAATAATTGAAATAGCGGCATAAAATTAAAAAAAATATATATATAAAAAAATATTTTTTTTGCATTACGATTGCAATATTTGCAAATTAATTTTTTTACGTCAATGTCATAATGTCCATTTTTCAACACTTGAATGACAACGACATAATAATATTATTATTTAAAAAGTAGATTTTATTTTAAAACGACAATAAATTTACATTTTAAAATCGACGATGTAATCTACGAGATCGTAGTACAAGTATTAAAATTGTGCTGTTCTGTAGTACATACTATACAGTACTTCACTAATGAATATTGCCCTTGTTTTTTTAGTATGAAAATCTTATAGGTGTAAAATATGGGATTTCAGTCTACTACTTTGTTTACAAAGCAAACAAAATGTATGTCCAAACTACCAATTTTTTTTTATATGGCTTATAGTTGCGTTAACAGACGCAATCCATTCGGCCACGTTTTGTGAGGAAGAACTACCAATTTATTGAACGAGTTTCTAATACAGAATTATTGACTTTTAAATGTCAATTCTACTGGTATAAAATATACATTGTATTATAAAAAGCCGAAAATATGTTTTTTTTTATCTATATACTAGCAACTTTCCTTAGCATTCGCTTGGTTCATCCCTAAATACGTTTTAACGGTTAGATTATATAGATTTCTCAGAGATGAGATATTTTCCCGTAATAAAAACTAAAAAGTATCTTATATGATGACCCGGATAACCAGCTATCATCATACTAAATTTCATCAGAATTTTTCCAGTGGTTTTCTTCTAAGGCGTTCCCAGACAGACCGACAGACAAAAATTCTAAAAAGTATACATTCGGTCTCTGTATCGATAATAATAACTATTTCAATAAGATTTTCCAAAAAATATTTAATGTATAGATTCGACTCAGAATTTTATTATATGTGTAGACTATATAATGTATATAATTTTTTATAAATAAAGCTTTGTTTTGAATTAGAGGGAAAAAACTCTTCTCTAAGGTACAAAAAATACATATTGGTAGTTTGAACAAACAAGCACTAAGGCGACTCAATGACAAGCATTACAAGTTCTACGCCAGCACATTTAAAATACGAATAAAACCTATATAGATATCCTATTTAAAATAGCCGCTTAAATTAGTCTTTTAGTATAGAAAATGAACACATTGCTGTTCTTTCTTCTAAATGCATTAGGGATGTACCCATACTACGTGAATCGTTCAGGAGGGGAAGTCTTCAAAATACCACGCTTGCGCTTTTTCGTGTTATAAAACTCACTCTTGGCGTCACGCGGCAAGCGCAATAATAAAGACAAATGCGAGCCAAGTTTTTTAACTTTTTGTTAGCAACAAATGATTTATAATCTTATTTATAACCTACTACGTGAGTTAAAACTGGGGGAGGCGGGGATGGTCTTAGCATGTGCTACGGGTGATCACCGAAGGAGGAGGGTGGGGGGGGGGTGTTATTGGCAAATTCTACTGATAAGTCACGTAGTATTCGTACATTCTCTTACTTATTCTACTAAAGGAATGTGCAGGATATAATGGTATAGAAAACGGTTGCTAATATTATGTGTACATTTTTCATTTGTAGCTTTTTATAAACATTACAGTTTGTTCAAATGTCATTGTTGTTGACAGATATAGAATGGATAAGATAAAAATGTTCGTGTTTTCTCCATTCTACGTGACATTGGCGAAGTCTGTGCTCAACTGGCTTTGAAGCCAGTTGAGAAGTTTAACAAGAGAATTTTTTTTTTATTATTTAAGCTATGTAAAATCATTTGATGGAAAAAAATACATTATTTTGTGGTATCATGTCCTATATATTCATTTATCTATGTAATACCTTATATGGTTTAGAGGGCTCTTCGGTCTACAAAATAACCGTTTTCTAATCCGACCGTGCGAATAGATCGAATATCGAGGGGTCTTGTGCACTTCTATTGTATTCGTTTACATATTTACTAAATATTTTACACGGTGGTGTAAGACACCCCACATATTTTTCTGTAATACCTCACACCATGGTTTACTACTTCATAAATATCTCGTCTATCATAGGCGATAATAGTGTGCGGCGCTCCCGACTGACATACTAACTTTTGCATGTCAGTCGAGAAACGATTTTAGGGTTGACGATAACTGAACGTAAACTAAATCCAAGCTTTGAAACCGTTCGCCATGAAAATAATTTGTATAGATATTTGATAACCCTTGTAGGGCTGCCAGATCGTATAATTGGATACGAAAATTGTAAAATATGGTTATTTTATGTATATTTCATTTTAAGTTATTACGTATTTTTATTAATTTTTTTTATTTGTCACAGAGTATTTCTCAACAGTTCTGTTAATTTGTATAATAAAATTTGATCTGGTATAATTTGAGTGAGCCAACGGTATAAAATAAGTTGGTTTTACCGGCAGCAGTTGGCTCTACTGGCAGCCCTGAACCCCTTTACTGCGTCATCCTTTAAAATCAATGCCGCTTACTGTATGGATTTTTTACTGTTCACACGGTGGTCTGCGGCACCCCCTGCACCAAATGCGTGCGCGAGCGCGCGCGGGGCGCGGGCGAGGGGCCGCGCGGGGCGTGCGAGACCCCCTTGAGGGATATCGCGGTGTCGGAGGAGGCCTCGGACGGGGCGAGCGACTGGAGGGTTTGGGGTTGGCTGACCTGTGGATGAGATATTGTTTGATGTTAGTGTTCATTTTGAATTATTATTTTTATTTATCGATGTTCTAATCATTAATAATTATAAATTAAAAATAAAATGAGCTAATAACCAAAATTCTAAGGTTTTATTGGTGGATATTGAAGTTTCACTATTCACCTCCTGTCATTATTATCTGATAAGCTTGGTGGTTTGATAACATAGTAAGTACATAAATATATAGATATACAGATACATATGTATATAGATACGTAGTGCATAGACACATCTACACTACTATTATAAACAGGAAAGATTGTATTTTTGTATGTTTGTAACGAATAAACACAAAACTACTATACCGATTTAGATGAAATTTGGTAAGAAGATTCTTTGAGACCCTGGGAAGGACATAGGATATTTTATATATATAATTTTATATATTATTCCGGAAATCATGCCTTAAGAGGGTGAAAATGGGAATAATAGTTTGTATGTGTAATCAACTTAGGAACAAACCCGAGCGCAGCGAGTTTAAGTCGCTAGTAATTCATATTTTTCTTTGAAAGAATTAATTTCCTTTCATATTTTCGCGCTTTTATTTATTTAATGTATGTCTCGTGATCACATTAAAAAAAAAGAAAAAAAAACACTTATTTTTTAAATGTCAAGAAACCACATAAATATAGAAGAAAAATCCTAATTTCATCAAAAAAAAAGAAAAAAACAAAAAACCATACATACAGTTCTAGTCAAAGTCTGCGAGAGAGCCCTCTTGACGGGCACGTCGCGGTACTCGTATATATTGTCTCTGGAGCGAGACGCGTTGTCTATGCCGCTCTCTAGCTCCGGCACCATGAATATATCGCCATTGTAATACCGATCTGTTTCTCTGTTAAATTTCATTGATTTATTGAATTATTATATTCGTTAGAACTTTTCTTTAACATTATTATTAATAATAATAATATGTTGGGACATTAACAGACAGCACTATCTAGTTCCATGGTAAGCTACGAGGCCTGTGGTATGAATACCAGCTAGTTGATACACTACACATATATAACTTTAAATACATACATATTATAAATATAAACACTAATGACTGGAGTACAAACATTCATGCTCATCACACAAATGAATGCCCCCAGCGGGATTCGAACCCGCGATCACTGGCACAGCAAGTAGCGTCGCTACAGACCGAGCCAAAGTATCGTCAATTGTTTAGTAAACCGCTTATTCAGCCCTTTTAACGTCCCACTGCTGCATACCATATCCCTTCAAATGGGGATCATGTCTTTAAAAAGGGCTAAATACAAACTGCTATATATACTAAATACAACTTAAATTACAGTACTTTTGATAGTGTTTCTATATTCGATATCTATATAGCTATTGAATAATTAAAGTTCAGCATATCATGATATAATAGAAAAATACTTTGTGATTTATGATATTTTTTATTAATTATGCTAATTAATATATCAGCCCTATTTTTTTTTTATTTTTTAGTAAATATTTAAAAAAAATGTTAGTACATAAATATTTTCTACTCACTATTAAAATATAAAGCAACAAAGTCATATTAAAAGCGCCATTTATAATAAGCATGTTATTTCGAGCAATTATTTTTTAGCAAATATCATAGAAAGTTCTAAAAATATACGATTCATATGAAAATTAAAAAAATATATATATATCTAGAATATACCGTACGTTTCTAGATCTTTCTATATACAATAACTTAAACAAACTACATATATAACAATATCACCTACGTGGTCGGTACTAACTTCCACTTGGGTGGGATTGACCTGTTACGGACAAAGTTAGTTGTTAGTGAGTTAGTTAGAAGCATGTTATGATGATTTGTTATTTACTAGCAGAAAAAGAAATAAAAACTCTTTGGCTTTATGTTATTAGTAATAATTTATGGAAGTTTGCCCGATTTGTTAACATTTATGATTGCTGCTCCGCTCCCTTGGATAGTAACATGGTGATATATAAGCCTAGCCTATGGCATTCCTCAATAAACAAACTCAAACTCGTTCAAACAAACAAAAAAATAAATAAACTGCCTTTGAGGCAACAAACAAATAAAACTATCTTTTCTAAAAAAAAACGAGAATTTTCATTTTTGTATTTTTATATACAATGCAGATTAATAAAAAAACAAAACAATCGAAATCATTTTAGTTAATTTTAAAATTTAAAACAATCACTTGATTTTAATTGCGATTTAAATCACTGATTAAAACTCAGGTGATTTAAATCATCACAACGCTATTTACCTTTTGTTTTATATAAATAATACAGTATAAAAGATGTCACAGCCTATAAAAAAAACGGACTAATTTGTTAATATTCAAAAAAATGTTAGTACTAATATTTACAGTTAATATTATACAAGCACTACATTCTAATAAAATATTGTATTGAAACAATTAATTCAACTTCGAGCGAAATACAACTTACCTCTTAGCATTCCTCCACAGCATACAGCAGACCACCAACAAAACTATGAGGACAAGACAGGCGCTGGACACTGACCAGAAAGCTATCTGCAGCGGTTGCTTTGGCTCCCACCAATACTGAAATTAGAGAAAAAAGTGTGTGTGTGTACTTATGTACGCACGTAACAAGTTATACTTCTTTGGCGTAACAGAACAAAAATAGCTAAAGATTTCATCCAGACAACTCTCTGAGCAATGCAGCAAACTTAATCATGTGGCTTTTTGGCTATCGGTGTGCGCGCGCATTATTAAAATTTTACTCTCATATTTTTTTCCAAACGTGACAAAGGTATAACTTCAAAAAAAAAAAACAAATACGCAAATACGTGCTAAAAAAAAACAAAAAAAAAACAATCTATATAAGCCATTAATATATAAAAACATAAATATTAGATACTCATTTCCTACCAAATATCTCTTCAAAACGTGGTGTCGATATGTGATGTTAAGTGAGACCATAGAATAAAATTAAAAAATCGTGAGTTAATTTGAACTTGATAATGTAAGCAATATTACTAAGAGTAGAAAGATGACTATATTTGATAAATGAACAAAAACAAAGACTTGTATAGCAGGATGGAGCGAATTATTTTTTTTTTTCTTAGCTTTGGGGTAGAATTTGTAACTTATGACTTTAAAGAAGATACTCTACAGCTTCTAAAATAATTTCAAGAACTTTTTATTTTTTAATTTAATGATTTTTTTTTCTCTTCTCCTATTATATTGTATAGAAATTAAAAAACCTTGGGAAAATAAACCGATTATTTTTCTTTTTTTTAAGTCACATGCAAAAAATTATTAAGCCAGATAAAACTAAAATCAATCGATCTATATCAGAAACTCAATAAATTCAATCATACCTCAGTTATCGGTGGGTAGGTCGGCACCAATCTCCCTATGACACTTGGTAAGTACACCGTCCAAAAGGCGAGTTCGGTTTGTCTATAGTTTAGTTGGATGCTCGAATTGAACGTTGTATTCAGATTTAGGTACCGAAGTTGACCTGCTTCTGCCATTTCGAAGTGAAGTCCTAATATACGAGAGCGGGTTGGGTTCCTGAGAAATAGTATGTAAACTAAAGTAGAAAAGAGATACTAATTTGCAATCCGATTTAAGAATCAAAAAGAACAGTTAATTTTTTATACAAAACACTGTTATTATTTATAATAAATTACTACAATATGAAAAAAAAAAACATTTCCAAAGAAACCCTTTCGTCAATCAGGTCAATTCTTTAGAATCCCATAATTTGATAACTAAACCTCAAATTAAAAAAAATATTGTATATACATGTTCATATCCCCTAGAAGAGTAAATAAGGCTAATTTCAGAACCTCACTTTTCTTCATTGTCTGCTTCACGTGAAATGCTCCGTATATTATTATTCATTAGAATAATAATATAAATTATAACTGTAATATGAAGCAATTATTGACAAATAATTCTTCTATTAGACAATTCAAAAATTTAACATTTTATGGTTTGCATTTTTGATACCGTTACACATTTGAATATATAAGTACACATTTTATATCCTATGACTAATCTAGTACATTTATTACATTTTTATTGCATATAATACTTTAAAAATACATATCTTACCAATACAATTACTATATAAATAAAAAAGAGCACAAAACTCACCCAAATCTAGCAAAATCCGAGTACGCCTTCATAAAGAAGTGACTCATGTTTCTATCATTCGGTGTCCAGGCTTGCCTCTCGATCCTGTACCTCCTCGGGAAGAACTCCTGGTCCATGAAAGGTGCACCAGTTAAGAAGAAATGTTCTGTATCGTGGGCATATCGTCGCCATTCTGGCCAATTGAAGGCTTCTACGGTTGTATTCAATACATACATGTAGACTGGTACTCTTTGTTCCAGGAGTAATTTGACCATTTTGTCTGTTGGTGCTCTGTAGAGGAAGTCTGAGAGGAACTGGAATGAAATATGATGATGTTTTTTAATATTACTATTTTAGTTTAAAATGAAACAATACACCCTTGATCAACTCTGGTGTATTATATATGAGATTTGTTATAACCGTCCGTATTCAACACTTTAATAGTAGCCATTACTGAGTTCCGCTATGTATATGTATAAAAATCGGCGCATGTTTCCTATAGACTCCGAAACGGTTGGAGCGATTTTGATGAAATTTAGACAATTTTCGGATTAGTCCAGAGGGCGATCTTGTGAAGTTTCGTAGTGATACATAGATTCACACAAATTTGTCATATTATTTTTTGAATAAATTCATGCCTGTTACGTCCTAACACTGTATTCTGTGGGTTTAAAATTTAAATAAAATTCAAAATTCCATATGCTAATATGCATATTGAATTTTCATCTTAGATTAGCGAAGGCTATTTTCATCCACTTTCTAGAAAAAATAGCTAATATAAAATAACACGTATACATACATGCACATACTGGTCTCGTATAGCACTAGCGTTGTGGGGCTCGGGGTGGTAGGTGTACATGTAGCGCACGGCGTCGTACACGCCGCGCGGGTTCAGCGTGTAGTTGTAGCGGAGCACGAACTCGCGCACCTTCTGGTCGAACCAGCGCTCGTCTACCTCGTAGGTGGGCGCTAGCGACTCGTTCGAATCTGTGGTGTAGAAAAAATTAATAGTAATTTTAAAAAAGTGCGTGTTTGTGCAATTCACACACGGTAGAAGTGGAACTTCAGAAAAGTAACCTACGAGAGAATGAGATGAATATAGAGTATCGGGAGTGGAATAATAAATTTATGAGGTTTATTTTTTTTATAATATTTTTACTAACTTTAAAAGTTATTTTACATTTTATTTGACATAAATATACATACATTAACATATTATTCAGTTATTAATTTTATTATTTTTCACTTTCTGCGTAATGTATTCTATCTCATTCTCTCGTCGGATTAATCCTTTATATTTATGTGATTGTCTCTTTCTAGTGTCGCATTTTCGTTTCATAGAGTTTCCACTCATAACGACTAACGATTCTAAAAAAGTTTCACTTCAAAAATACGTTTTTAATTATTTTAATAATATTAAATTAATATACATTTTATAAACTACAATAATTTTCTACCGATTAAGTATTCAAAAAATGATTAAAATAATAATTAATACATCGATGTATCTAAAAAAAATCTTTCATTTTTTTGTTAACTGTTATAATTTTAATAACTTCACATAAAGACCTATGTACATCACGTTTCATAAACGCACAGACGACGCGAGTATCAAAAGCGTGTCGGACTCGTATTAAAATACCGTCATATACCTACTCTTACTAAAAATCAAAAATGTAGCGAATATATTTTAAACTCTACCCAACACATACAAAGCACGTACACAAAACATAAGCAGCCTCCTGCGTGGTGACCCCCGTCATGTATCGCAGTGAGGGGTTGAACATCCCCCTCGCGATCAGCTCCTCGGGAGTGGTCCCCAGGAAGTGCCAGTCCCGCTCCCTCCACCCCTCGTACCACTCATCCCCCGGGAACGTAAAGTTATTCTCCAGCACCGGGCCCCACGGGATGAAGCCGACGTGGGGCTGGAATATAATAGAATACTGTTTCATAATACTTTCTTAGATTTACGCGAATATTTGACTTTTTAAATAAACCTATCTTTTCGGATTATTTTGCGGATTTATTTTGATTATTGGTTCCAGACGTTTCGGATGCTTTACAGCAATCATAGTCACGTGAGAGACTGAGGCGTTAGACGTCTAAATATTACTAATAATTGCGACGACACGTTTGGCTCAGTTTGTAGTGCTAGCTAGACTACTTAATGTGCCAGCGGTCGCGGGTTCGAGTTCTGTTGGGGGCATTTATAATATGTATGTATTTAAGGTTATATATGTGTTGTGTATCATCTATCTGGTATCCATAACACAAGCCTCGTAGCTTACCATGGAACTAGATGGTGCAGTGTGTTAATGTCGCAACATAATTATTTATTTATTTAAAAAAAAACAATATTTTCCATAAAATAATTTGTCATATTTTTTTTCATTTTCTTAGGATTTGGAATACACTATAAAAATTTTGACCTCTAAAGTCTGGTTGGTTTGTGCATTCTAGATGCAGGTCTAGATGCTGCAGTCAATAAGTCAAGAAGTGTAATTTTATATAAGCAAATTCCATATTTTGAAGTTTATAATCGTTTATACTACAACACTTGACTATAATTTTTTACTCTATGGTATTATAAAAATAATAATAATATAAAATTTGATGACCCCAAAACGTGAGTATAATTACTATTATATTCATCAAGAAAAAAATAAAATTATACAATCTAGCATTAAGTTAATGTACTAGGCAGGCCAGAACATGTTATGGCTGCAGATCCGATGGTCAGGGTTCGACTCCTAGTTTTTTTTTAAGAAATTCTCAAGAGCTTGAAAGCTTTCAGATACTTTAGCACATAAAGCCGGTCAGGAGGAGATTATAATTATCAAATTCTACCTGAAACTCTGCATTCCCCAACTCATAGAAGCTCCTCCCTTGACGGAGGCAGTTGACAAGTTTCCACGATGTGTCTATGGGACAGCCGAGCAGCCGTCCGAACACAAGCGATGTGTTCTGGACTCTGTACTTATCCTGAATGAGTGCCCAATCTGCTAATGGTGAACCGCTCTGAAAACAAAATTGGCTTGTATGTATGTATGTATGTATTCAGCGCTCTTTAACGTCCCACTGCTGGGCACCGGCATCACTTCTATACGAGGGGGGATCAGGCCCAAAAAAAAATCGATGGCCTGATTCCTCTCGTATTGAAGGAAAATTGGCTTAGTAATTCAATTACTAATATCACTTTAGAAGTAATAATCCCACAATTATAGGATGTTGTTCCTTAAATTTTGTTAAAGTAATAAATACAATTCAACTTTTAAGTAAAACTTACTTATTACAAAAAAATGAAATTATCTCGTAACATATACATACAGTACACACACGCACACACACACACACACACACACAGACAAACAAAATTGAAATAATACACACAAATTAAATACACCTCCATTAATTTGAATTACATTAAAAAGACTGCACTATCATTCTCACCTGTGCTATAATCCTGGACACTATACTCCTGGTCTGAGGCGCCACGGCCAGCAGTCCGCTGGACGCGGCCCCCGCGCCGGGACCGAACAGGGTTATCAAGTCGGGATCGCCGTTGAACGAGCCTATGTTATCCCGGACCCAGCGGAGTGCCATCGCTTGGTCGAGGATCCCATAATTCCCGGGGGAATTCTCGTCGGCTGTTGAGAGGAAACCTGGAAAAATTGTGTGATAGACATAATGCTCGTAAAAAATATGAAATTCTTGTCGTTGGTAGTGGCATCGCTTGAGAATAACAGTATTTTTTTTATTTTTGTCTGTCTGAATAAGGATTATAAGGCAAAAATATTCATACAAAGAGAATATCGCGAAAAATTGGTAGTGATATTTTCTCGGGATTTAGACGATTATTGTATGAATTCCAAGATCATAAACAAAGGCTAGAGTTAGAATAACAATTTAACAATTTCTATTGTCTTATATGGTAACTAATTTTTACTAAAAAAGGTATACCGAAACTTCAAATTGTTTATTTTTATTTGTGGGGAACTCCACGTGATCTTAACCTATTCATCTAATAAGATATAGGAAAATTGGTTTACACAAAAAAAAGAAAATATAAAAAAATCTTTAAAAAAGAGCGACTCACCTAAAGCTCCTAGCCTGTAATTAAAGGACACTACAACAACTTCATAGAAACCCGCCAACATATGCGCGGGGAACAGATTGGACGCGCCAGACGCAAACTGCCCCCCGTGTATGTACACCATTACCGGGTACTTCTGAGCTGTTGAACCTGCTTCCGTCTGAAATTGATTATATTATTCGTAGATAGACTTCTATTAAAGAGAAGAAGAGGAGAAGAAGAGAAGAAAAAGTAGCAGAAGGGGAGACGAATAGAAGAAGAGGAGATATTTTTGGGTATATTGTTGTACAGTCAGGAGCAAAAATATACGACCGATATATTAATATCTATTCTTATTATAACAGAAAAAATATGTGACATCAAAGGAATAACAAAATTATCTGACTGAGCACGCGATGCAAAGATATAGGATGCCTACGAGTACATTATGCTTAGTGACTGTACCACCTGAATTTTAATACTCCAAAATTGAGACAATGTTTTTCCAAAATAGGTTTAGCTTTCGCTGTTTATTTTTTCTTTTTTCGTGTTAAATTATTTTCTTTAATCCCTATTTGTTCTTTTTCATTAGCTCAAATCTTTGAGCTCTCTTTTTTCATTAGGTCAAGAAAAATGTATGCGGAGGGTAGAGTGAGTGGAAACGAATACCTATTAAGGAGAAGCTTCGAAAGAAAGAAACCTGATTATAAATTTGATTTGAATTATTATAATTTATAAATCAAATTCATAATCAGTTCGAAAGTGTGAGGCGAACTACAGCGTGTATGAAGAGAACAAAGAAATCCTTCAAGAATTTACATTGTACCAAATTTTGTTTGACCAAGCATTTTTGATATGAGAAATAAATAACAATTAAAATTATCAAAACACAATACAAATTTAATTTAATTACTGTATGTTGTATAATTTACTTTGATATTGAATGGAAGAATTATAATGGAGATTACCCAGTGATATTTGAAATTAAACCACTAAAAGAATGAAAAAATTAGAATAAATTCCTAAGTATGTGAATTTGTATATTTTTATTGCAGTGTATTGTACGTACAATTTATTCACGTGGGGCCAATTGCTTGAGAGTATATACTGTAAAATGTATAACGTATCTAATTGTAAAGACTACAATAGCACTAAAGGGAATACATCAAAGAAAATATATTTAATACGTTACATATATATATATATATATATATATATATATATATATATATATATATATATATATATATATATATATATATATATATAGGTATGTTTTAATTTGTTTGAGCAGGATTTATTTTTCTAAAATGAAAGTAATCTAAGTTACTCTTTATAACATCAGCTATCTGCCAGTGAAAGTCAAAATCTGCCCAACCGTTTCGGAGATTAGCCGAAACAAATAGACAGACAAAAAAATATTATGTTTTTTTATAAGTACCGCATACAATTATAATTATATGCATTTAGTAAAAAGCTGTTATTTTGACATTACAAATAGACACTTCATTTTATTTATCTGTATAAATAATAATGTTTAGAAACATACATTTTTTATCCACTTTTTAGGAGAACCTTTAATTCATAGATCAGATATGAAGCGAAGTAGGGTGAGTCGCTAATTAGTTATATTTGAAGCTGTAACCTAGGACTAAGCTGTGGACATCACAGTAAGCCGGAAATTGAGGAAAACTATTTTTCAACGCCTTTCATCCTTCCATTTCTCTGAGGTTCCTTATATACTTACTAACTGTATGTTTTGAAGATATACAAGTTCAGGTTTTAATTCTTTTGTTCCCAAACCGAATTCCGATCGGCCTAATGAGTATATAAAAGACTTAATTTTATTTTATTGTTATGACAGACATGCTTTCTATAAATTTCATTTATAATAGTGCAAGTAGGTTTTTTTCTATTGCCGAATGTTTGGCATTTAAACCGAATTTCGGCCGAATGCCGAAGTTCGGTTCAAGCTGCCGAAATTCGGTTAAACCGGAACGTAAAACGAATTTCGGCTCATCCCTAGTTATTAGCGTCCAAATAGACAACTAAAAGTAATAGGACATAATTAAATCCACGCCTCACGTCGCTTCTATTGAATCATTAGTGAAGTTAAGTACCTATTAGTAGCTTTAATTTAGATTTAGAATACGCAAGTGAATGCTTCAGTTAAAGAGGCTATTGTTCTTTGGTTAAAGTTTATGATGTACTATCAAAAATAATATGTCTGCGGTGAAAATCTAAATTTCAGAGATTTATTTAGATTGAACTCTTAAGCAGTAACAAAATATTTCTATTTAAAGCATAGAATTAATGTAAGAATGAAAAAAAATTTTAATGAAATGTTTATATGTTAGTTTGTATATATTTCTTGTAAGTACGTTGTCTTATATATATTTTTTGAAATATGTTACCCTACATTTCGAAAACTGTTATTATAGAATTTCTAAAAATTTGAAAAAAAATTAAGATATTTTTCTGTCTGTTGCAAATACATGGAAAACATTTTTTTTTGCGAATCCAACATCAGACATTCAAGCCAATTTTATTTAAAATCAAACCTATAACACTTATAATATAAGTTTAGATATTTTCTTGCAAAGATTATTACGGTGAATAATATAACAAATGTACATGATCAAAGCATACAGCGTATGTGTCACGTCTAACAATCATTAGTTAAGCTCGGCGAAGGTTAATTGGTCTAATTTGGAGAGGAGCCGACGCGGTTAGTGACTTAGAGTATTTCCCTAACAGAGTTTGTATTGTTTGTATTTTCGTCCGTGTCTTCACTTGGATGTTATAATGACAATAAATACCCTATCCTTTAGTAACACAAAGAATAAATTATACACAAAATATAAGGTTTTTTATAGTCACCCCAATATATACAATGCACACAGTGAGGTGGCCCACTTCGGTGGGCGGTGTACCATGCGGGTTGTTCCTGGTACTTCTCTGATAGCAGAATGGACCGTTGGAGTAACCCTATGGTTGTTGTGGTCTGCTTCGGCAGACCTGCCGTCGGGGCGTCGTAGTTAGACGGGGGAAATTCAGTTGGGTTTTAGTGGGTTGAACTAGATTTTCTAGCAAGCGAGTCCCACATAACCACCTGTATGTATATACAATTAGTGGTATGTGTAAATGTATTTCCCAACATAAAAAAACTAAAAAAAAGTATCCAATAGTCAATATTACTATCACTCAAATAATTGAATAGTTGAAATCACAAATCAATTAACATATTTTTTAAGAGATCGATTCAATACAATTTTGTTAGTGGCTTCAGCTTTTATGAGACCAAAAAACAATACGCAATGGGGCAATAGCAACCTGTGACATCACTTATTTGTCAACTCAACTGACAAATATTTATTGATGTTAAAGAATATCAGGGTTAAAATAATAATAATTATAATAAATATAAGAAAAAAGCCTTCCTTTCTTACTTTATTTTCAACTAGCAACTCACCCTTGCTTTGCTCGGGTTCATCCCTAGGTACGTTTTAAAGGTTAGTATGGAAAAGATAGTCAATCCTATCTCTGTGGCAAATTTCATCCAGATCTGTTCAGCCTTTTACCAAACTTTCGAATTTAGAATAATTAAATAATAGGATTAAATTTACAATGTAAAAAAAATAATATTTGACTTACATGAGGTGAGAATATATTAAGATAGAGACAATCCTCGTCCATATCCCTTATGCCTTTGGTAGCTCCGGTAAATCTCACTGGTTGTGGACATGCTGGGCCCCAGTCAACTGCTTGCATTAATTGCCATCCGGGATGTTGTCTTGGTGGCTAGTGAAATATAATAGTATGTATTTATTATAAATAATAACATTCCAAATAAAGCAGAAATAAAGAATATTTGTTAATAATAATAAACTTTTCCTATCAATACAGAAATTTTCCAATAATCTGTCTAAGTAACTATTGGTATATTTTCCATGAACAAAGAAAATTAAAAATTATTACTTTTGATAAAAACGTACACCACATTATAAACCATGTAAAAAAACATTAGATCCTTAAGGGAGGACTTATTTTTTAAATCTAAGGAAACACTTATTGTATGTATAAAATAATTCGTTGGCTCACTATTACAAGGTTCTATGTTACAATTTTAGTACATACTTATTTAGTTATTAATGCTACAAGGTTCTACGTGTCATTAGCTACAGTTTTCCAAAAACAAACCACTAGATAGCGGGACTTTAACTACAAAATATTCAATTTTACAAAGTTCTATGTTTTTTTTTTATGATAACAAAATAACGAAGTTCTATATAAAAATTACTAACTTTATTAAAATTAACATAGAACCTTGTAATAGTAAGCCAATGAATTTATAACTGTTCATTAATGTAAGACTTATGGTAATTACATATACATTAATTAAGGATTTACTCTCTATTTTACACATTGTAATTTAATAATCTTATTTTACCCACCAATCTCCTTTGTGTCTTCTCTATTCTATGTGACATTGACCAAGTAACCTGTGCTGAACTAGCATGCTTTGAAGCCGTTAAGAAGAAAATTGAATTGAATCATAGTTAAAAGTTCTATTACTAATCTCACCTTAAACCTGCCTTCTAATACAGGCGGTCTCGCATAAGGTATACCAAGGAACACAGAGACTTCACCCTGTATCCTCTCCACTGGGGTCAGCCACGGCCTGTACCCTGAACTTGGTTCTGGGTTATCATATAAATATACCTAATAGACAAAAAAAAGTTGTAGAAACAGTATTATTTTTATATTTTTTTTAATTTGTCTAGTTTCAAATAATTCGGAAATTGTATGTATTAAAAAAAAAATATTTATATAAATTATTGTTAATTACGTATTTACAGTCCATGAACTGAACTTGAACTTTTGCACTCTTTGATATATAAAAATAGTTTAAAAAATAGTTAAGAAAATCTTTATGACTGCTACTCATTTTTTTTATGTTTATTTTACTTTAGGGTAAGTAACATACCTATGTTTAGTAATAAGATTTAACCTATATTTTTGTTAGCAACATCAAAAAAATCTTTTACTTACTTTAAATCCTTGAACTTGTCCATAATTGGTATTAACAAAAATATCTCTTTTCAATTGCCGAGAGTCTCTCCTTTCTCGGCCTTGTAGATCTTCTCTCCAACCTCCCAAAACACCAGGAAATAGAGCATCTGGATTGTTTGCATCCCTATTCTGTAAAAATAAATGTTAGATGGTATTTTTAATTATATTCTATAGCTTTAAAGATAAAAAAAAAACTTTAGACAAGTATCTTTTCCTAGAACAAAACCTACATGTGCATATTAACCTCTTAGTCTACACACATATAATACTCCCTATGTTTAAAAAAATATTCAAATTTATTTAAGAGATGCAGAAATATAACTGTAGGGTTTCATTCTGTACTTGATACAATTTTTATTGAGTATGTAAAGTATACAACAAAAACATGCCATTAAATTATATATTTCAACTTACTGTATTGTACTTAAATTGATCATCCAACGGGTTAGTTATTATGGGATTATAGGGAAATCCACCAGGCTGATTAATGTTTGGATTGTATGGGTTATACCGTGATGGATCAGTTCCATATCTTCTATTATTATAAACGTAGGTTCTGTAATCACTGTCTCCAGGATTTGGCAGCCTGGACTCGTGTGAGCCTTCTTGGGTTCTAGTATAATATTCATTACTTTGTCCATTATATAGATCTTTGTTTGATTGAGATTTTACACTAGCACTTATAAAAATTGTCAAAAGTACGTTTGTCAACATTTTCACACACTTTGTTACGGTCTAATAAGACGCTTTCTATGAATCACATATTCGTGTTACTTGACTTAGTTATATTCAATGTTTAGATTTTTTCTGAATTAAACAGTACATAAAATTATACTATTTTTGTCATGGATATAGTTGTTTTTCTAAAAGCCGCATAGAATTAAAAGAAATTAACATGAGAAAAATGACAACATTGTTTTCGAACGACGGATGACTCAAAAATTTTATCAAACCTTATAATCTAGTACACGGTCACAAACAGATATAACAACGTTATCAGGTTATCACAGAAATAATCAACAAATTATCAAAGGAACAATGTGTGGCAACGCCCACAGTGTTCAGACTTTTGTTTATCATTTCAAGTTGTTTCGACATCAATTAACGAACGAAGTGAAGTTTGCCGATATACGTTTAGAAACCATAGCTACATAAGTTATACAGAACAAAAATTATATGAAATCAATAAATTAAAATTATTCTATTAATTATAATCTCATCGATATTCAATCTTAGTTTTCCCTTTTTTTCCTTAAAAGAGTTTAATAAGATTTCATATATTTTGGAACTGATAAAATGTGAAAGATTTATTAGGCCCCAACCATAGACAATAGACATAGTCTATGGCCCCAACATAGGGCGTAGAGAAAGAACTATTACTACACAAAAAATGTGTAAAATGTTGCAAAATACAAAAACAATATATATTCAGTAAATAATTAAAAAAAACTGAGTAATAATGTACTCCAAACCGACTTCAGTTTCAGCGGCTTACATAATATGTATAGACATTAATATAATATATAACTACAGATAATAAAATAGTAACTTAGCGACATATGTAGGTACAAAAATATTAAAAAAAATAATGACGGTAACCGTATTGTGTACAGAAGGCCCCAACACAATAATTATTAAAAAAAATATCTATTTGTCTGTATGTCTGTTTGGGTGTGCGTATTTCACGCCAAAACTACTGAACCGATTTATCTAAATTTTGTGTAGTAATAATTTACTACACGGGCTACCATTTAGGACATCTTATACCACCTGTTTAAAATTTTATATAAAATAGCTGAATTTTGACAGTGTTTTGTTAAAAAAAAGTGTTTTCGTACGCTTACATGGCTAACGCTGGCTAAATCTTAAGATAAACCTACATATATCAAAACAATGAACTAGCAAATTATAGGTCTTAAAAAGGCCTACAGAAAGTCCGCGATAGCATCTCCCAAAGTGCTCTCACAATAGGTAACTATTTTAACCTATATAAACAGTACCTAGATGAGGCACTGTTATTATTATTTTTTTTAAATACGATTATCATTTCGGATTTTTTTGCGCATTTATTATAATTTTTGGCTCCTGACTATATTTGCGCATTTATTATATTTATATATGAAAAGCTAGCGACTCACTCTCGCTTCCCACAGTTTCGTCTTCTCGGGATTCTTTAAATTGACATAACTTTTTTATTTATTAATTAAATCCATTAAATTAAACAAATATTAGGTAAATGTTAATTGAAGGTTACCATAATATTTTAGTGAAAGCCACACACAAATCGGTTAATCTGTTTCTGAGATTAACGCGCACAAAGGTACAGACAAACAGACAAAAATAAAAATAAAAAGTTTTGGGTTCTATTGCGTTAATAAAGACCCTCAATAATAGTATTTCTCAAATAACTTCAATGTACAGACAACGATCACATACACTTTTATTATATGTATAGATAGAAGTAAATTAAAATTCAACTAAAGTATTTTTTTTAAATCTTTTGATATTCTTCAATTAATATTCTATTAGAATATATTTAAAAATCATGAGATACTCTATATGTTTCTTTGTTACAAAGATTTTTCGGCATATTTCGAGAACGATAGCCAAAGCTATTTTTGATTTAGTTCCTTATTTCCGATTCCAGTTACTTTTGTATAGCAGCAGGAATGTGGGGCATGTCGGCATAACTGAAATGTTTGCGTTCGGAATGCTTGACAGATTGGATTCGGGTTTAGGTGAATCTAGTGTTTGTTGAGAGCTACAAAATCTGTAGATAAGGCATTTTTAATTTTAAATAAAACTAAATTTTTGGATTTTTTCGCGGATTTATTTTGATTATTGGTTCCCGACGTTTCGAAAGGACTGGAGTCTGGAGGACTAAAGTTTTAGACGTCTCAAAGGCGTTATATACTTGTTACATTCAGTGCTTGCCCACACTTTTTCATTGTTTTTTTTTCATAAATGATTAACATTCTGATAATAATAGTATTCCGATATTATCGGACTACCTAACCTACTCAATGTGTGTATCTTCTCAACACTGAAACAGCTGGGCAGATTTAAATAAAATTTTGTACACAAATTATAACCTGGATAAGGATGACTTAGGCTGATAGGCAATCGTCGAGCGACAGTCCAACTTATACTTAACATTTTCTTGTAAATATCAAATCGAACTTGTGATCTCTTCACATATAAAAACTTTTTAACAAAAAAATAAAAACCGACTTCAAACAAAAGCACTAAAAAGTAAAAAATAACTGATTGGTAGTTTTCATTTACTATACATACCTAATCAAATATTTTCGAAGTCGGTGTGCTTTGCTTTGTATGGACTGGCACCGATTTCGAAAATATTTGATTAGGTATGTATTTAATAGGTAGGCTTTAATTTCTTAGCCAAAGCCTTCGACTACCAATCAGTTATTTTTTACTTTTTAGTGCTTTTATTTGAAGTCGGTTTTTATTTTTTTGTTAAAAAGTTTTTATTTTTCCCTTTTTAGTGTAGACAGTAGTAGCAAAGTAAGGATTCTAACGTGTTAGGCTTGTCAAATCAAACAAAATAAGCCCAAACTCAAAATATCTACTATTAGCCGTTGAAGAGTTCCACCTATCCACCTTCTGGCCTTGCCATCAGATCAGGTCAACAACACAGAACCACTGTACTATCAACGGAAATAGAAATACTTGCAAAGTTTCAAGTCAATATGACAATTAGAAGTAGGTTAAATTCATAATTAGTTGTTTTTCCACCCTTAGGGGTGGTATTTTTTTTTGAAATTTAAATGGGACCAATCTGGAAGTATACCCTTTCAAACAAAACAAAAATTGTCCAAATCGGTTAATAAATGACGGAGTTCTGAGGTAACAAACATAAAAAAAAACATACAGTCGAATTGAGAACCTCCTCCTTTTTGAAGTCGGTTGAAAATGGAAAAGAATAAAGTGTTTAAAATATCATATCAAGATCTTTACGAAAGTTATTTTAAATAAATCTTAGTATTATGTTTTAATGTGTTTAATAATCTAATCTTATATAGTTTAATTGGCATTTAGTTTAAAAATAAAAATTAGCAACTATTGTAAGGTAATTTGGTGCCATTTTTATATTTTTGAAATCATTTTTTAATTTTGTGCCTAGGTAGAAAAGTACAGTCTATAGATTATAACAACTAAGTATATAACATGTTCTTAAGAACGTCTAAAATCTTAGTCACTCCGATGCTGTAAAGCATTCGAAACTTTCTCGACGTTTAAATAAAAAATCAAATCCGCAATAAAATCTAAGAAAGTATTAATTGGCATTAAGTTGATAAACAAACACTATATCAAAGAGGACTCTATCTTACCAAAAGCTCTAAGATACATTACAGTTAAGCAGAGTAGAGCTTTGTAAATAGGGACATTCTTCGTAGCTCGTGTACATATAATGCTCCTGGTATAGGTCCCCTAGGCAATGATTTTGTACGGCGTTATGTAGCAGGCCGTGATCATATCAATGATAGATGCTGTGATCTCGACGAGGAATGGCAGCTATTCAATCGCTCGATTTAGCCATCATGTTGAGTTATGTAGCTTGAAAATCGATTTGCAAACGATTATTTGTGTATAATAAGGGTTATCGCTTTAGGAGATAGTAGACATTGAACTGAAAAGAAAATTCATAGTAAAATGTTTTATTGGGCAGTAAATATGTAAGTATTGAAGATAAATATTTATTCATATTTTGGTTTAGGCTCGGAATAAAGGTAACTATGATAAAGAAATAAAAGTAACATAATATAGGTATATAAGTAATGTAATAAATATGTATGTATGTATTTAGCCCTTTATATATATATATATAATATATATATAAGACGGAGGAGGATTTAGTTACCTTTTTCTGTTATGAAACCTTGTTATTGTTTAAAGTCACTATGTTCTTTAATTTACTTTTAAAGTTATTTTGAATGTAGAGCAGAGATTTAGTCTCGAGCGGGGTCGAGACGCCATCACGACATTCTTTGCAGATACGTGGTTTAGTAAAGTCGGTTGATTATGGTGGAGTTTTGCTTTGATATTGTAGTTGGAAGTCGATGATCGGTGACTGTGAACCCGCTAGCTCTAAATCATTAAAATTACCGTTTCAAGTTTATAACATTGTGACTTCCCTGATTAAATTGTGTATGGAGCACTGAATACTTTATTATTTGAGCCCTGATAACGCCCACAAGATGAGTAACCACTAAAGATGATGTTCGTAGTGTATGGATAACACGACATATATATAATATATAATTATGTAAAGGTAATAATAAATATGTAGTTGAATATAACAAAATGTATTGTAAGCTAGTACTTCCTGCGGCTTCGCTTGCATGGTGTCGCCCGTATGAATGCTAGCCTATGTCAGTCAGCCCTCATTATACAAATTTATGTCTTTGTCTCTTCCAAATTTTATCAAAAGTTCAGCAGCTTAAGCGTGAAAACGCAACAGACAAGCGTGTTTTCGCGTTAAGCGTTTCTAATTAAATGTGAAAGTAATTTTGTCTCAGTTACTTTCAAATTTATAATATTAGTACGGATTACTAGACATACTCTTGTAAATTTTATTCAGTTTCAATGACGATAACTCTAATTATAATATAATATTATCATCTTAAAAATGCACCACATTTTATTTGAATATTCCTGCATTTGGTTGAATATTTCTAATCCTATAAAAGAAG